TTCTCAGTCTTCTTGGTCTTCACCCATTGTGTTAATAGGAAAAAAAGATGGGGGCAGAGTCGGATTCTACATGGGCTATTATCAGCTGAATAAGTTGGCCCTGACTGACCCTTTTCCTCTGCCACACACAGACGACCTGCTAGAACACCCAGCTCAAGCCAAGTATATAAATGCCATCCATTTGACTAAGGCAGAGATTTCCAAAGTGGGCAGTACCACCCCTCCTGGGGGGCAGTAGAAAGATCCAGGGGGTCAGTAAGGAAAAGAGGGACAGCAGGGGGGCATTAGGAGATTACTGGTAGTCCCAGGTTATGAACAACCCATACTTTCAATCATATGAACTGCCGTAAACCCTGTATGAATATCACTAGAAAGAAGCCATGACCTGTTTGGCAACGTGTCATCAGTGGCTGTGTAGTTCATGACTTTTCATTAGAGTTACAGATCCATTAGAGATTGTCAAGGCTATCTCTAAAGAACTACGTGCTATCTTCATGCGCTATCTTTAGGGAACTATGTGATGCATTTGGCAATGCGTCATCAATGGCAGCCTATTTCCCCGGAGAGGGAGTATTCACCTCTTTTCATTCCACAGTGTCAGTTTAGCATGCCCAAGCCAAGTGTGTTCCAGGCAGATGTAGGGCGCATATTTCCCCTTTGGCTTTTCTTTTGTATTTGCCCTCCCAACAAGGCCCTTAGCTGCTACAAGGCCATTTATAATACGAAACAGAAAAAGGCTGTACTAATGACCCTTGAGGCCTAGTTCAAGAAAGCAACCCCTGTGGTAACCCCTCTCCGCCCCTCTCCAGCAGCACAATCAAACCCTGACTCTCCAGCACCAGGTCCATCTCCATCATCAGTCAATGGTCATTTACCTCAGGAATGTTCTAAACACTTTTAAGAACTGTCTCTCTCTTTTTTAATACTGTATACCTACACACATATACACATACATACAGATTTTCTTTCTTCAATACTTATAGTTACTTTATTATTACTGTATTATTACCATTATTACAATGCTGCATTGTGTTTAAGATATTTTAGCAAATATTGAAATGTTTGTTAAGTGTTTTATATGCATAGAAAAGTGCATATAAAACACTTAACAAACTTAAGTGACTTAAGGACTTTCTCAGGAATGGAGAAAGCCCATCGTCCGTAGCCCATGGACTACCTGTATCGATTACTACTACAAAAGAAACAAAGAGCACAAAAAGGCAAACATTTGTAAAATAGGACTGCTGAGGAGCCTGCCTTCCCCACACCCCACAGTCCTGCAAGCTGCCCACGGCTCACAGCCCTCCTCTACATGACATCCCCTCACATATCTATAAGTCGCTTAAAAATCCCCTCAGTGTCTCCTCTTCTTCAGGTTGAAAAGACCCACTTCCAGTCTTTTCTCTTGTCATTCTTTCCAACCCAGCTACTAGCTCCCAAACTGTGCTGAACCAATTCTAATCTAGCGATGTCTCTCCTATAATGTGGAGCCCAGAACTGGATGCCTTACTCCAATTGTGGGTATGCCAGAGTTGTGTAGAATGGCATCAACCCCTCCCCAGATCTGGAAGTCACACTTCTGGCTATACATCCAAGGGTGGCATTTGCCTTCTTAACTGCTGTGTCACACTTACTGCTGCATGAGGGAATGCAGATGCACAAATGTGACTTTTCATGTGCCTCGACAGACACAAATATATTGTCACCCTTGTCCATTCCAGTGTTGATGCTTTTGCATATGTGTCATAGTGACAGTGCATGAGAGTGAGCATGCATATGCACAAGAGCAAGAATGTACAATATGCTCTAGACAGCATATCACATGAAGCGCTCTGAATGTCATGGGAAATCACGGGCATGCCATGGTGACCAGACAAGTGTGCTGACAGACGCAAACACAGTGCCACATGTGTGCTTTCCATTTTTGACATGCATACATGTGAGTCAAGTCAATAGTGCAGGGAGTGATTGCATGTACACACAACTGCAAAAAGGTTCAATGACCTGCTTATGTGCTAATCAACATGCTTAAACTTACACGCACTTCCGTGCTCCCTCACATATCTGCATGTCAGTTCTGCAAGTGTTCATACATGTGTCATGGCAAGTGTGCATGAGAGCAGTCATGCTCATCTTGCAGCGTGAAAGTGCACAATTGCGTGAGAGCAGTGCATGAGAGCAATGACATACGTGCACAAGCATGAACATGAGCAATGTCATGCTCTTAAAGTGACATGAGCTCACTCACACACTTCGGTCTTTGTGCTTGCATATGTGCATCCAGTTACACAGAATGTTGTGTGGGACAGCACTGAAGTGCTGTCACAATACATGCATCATCACACACTCATGTGCAAGTGTTGACAGAAGCGTGTGTGCATCACAGCAAGAGTTCATGAGAATGGCCATGAGTGGGCACAACATGAAAATGCACAGCAACACCATCCAGTGACAGACAGCAAGAGTGCATGAGAGTGATCATGAGCACACACAGGTGTGAAAATGTACAAATCCCAAACACACAACACTTCTACATGAAGTGATGTGCATGCACTTGCATGTACTTCAGTGTTCACTTGCATGGACTGTACTTGTACGATGGTGAATGACAGCAAATCGTTACACACATGTGCGTTGACGAGTATGTGCTTCCATCATGGTGAAAGTACATGATATGGATCATGTGCGCACACAACCATGATAATGCAAGATTATACACTTGCACAGTAAGTTGTATGTGTGCACTTGCATGCATTTCACTGCTCACTCACATGCATGGACATCAATGCATGTGCAATGACATGTGGGAACGCGTTAATGCTGTCCAGAGACTTTGTGAGCCGTCCAGAGACGTTCCTAGTAATGGGATGGCATAGAAAAACTTTAAATAAAGTAAAATAAAAAATGTACCTTCATGAAAATATTTTTGCAATCAGAGATGCAAGCACATCATCAGACGAGTGCATATGATCATTAACACACACACTCATATGTACATTATAGCAGATGTACACGACAGCTATTGCACACACCTACAACTGAGGAAACATGTGATGAAATGCCTTGGTTTCTTGCATGCACGTCTTGTCACCTGGTGGACCCCTCAACTGCCTTGTTTGAAAAGCCCAGGTGCAGTGGATGCCAGCATGCCTTTGGCAGCATTAAAACTAGTCTAGCAACTGCTCCAATCCTTTGGCCTAACTCTGGGGCTCCTTCTCCCCTCTCCGCTGCCAGTGCCTGGGCAGGATGAGCAGCAGATGAAAAAGTAGCTGCAATGATGAAGACACACACCTCCAGGTGGCTCATCAGTGGACTTCTGCACTAACCCTGAACATCAGCCCCATGAAGTACCTTGAAATTTCTATTTCATTGGGAAGCAATTTAAAAGCTTTATGAGAAAGTAGGGAGCTCAGTTGTCTAAGAGCAAGGGAGAAGTACTTCTTAAGAGGGTGAGGTTTCAAGTATTAGAGATCCTCTGTGAAATCTTTAGTGCCTCAAACCAAGAGCTCTGCTAATTCTCCCCCTCCTCTCATTCTGGCAGACCTCCTTGCTTTGCACAAGGAGGTCGCTGTGCCAGCAGATTCTGAACTGGAGCACTGCTTCCAGTATGGCAAGCACCCAGGGTTTGCAGATGGCTTGTCTTATGCCATGACATCATACCACAGGGTAAGGGGCCGGATTACAATGTTCTAGACAATGTGCCACAAGCCTGCACGTGGCTTGAAAGGGTCTGCCTATGGAGCTGTGCCAATGCCTGGCTGCTATTTCATCCCAGTGTGCCAACTGTATTTCTGCTCAGTGATGGACAGAATGCAACCACAATGCGGGTTTAATGCAGTGCTTACATTTCACACAGAGAGGATAACAGAGCTGTGGAAACCCTGCTCCCCCCCTTTTCACTTCTCTCTGTGTGTGGCAGGATAAGGGTGGAACTGTCTGCAATCAATTAGACATGTGAAAAACAACCACCAAATCTCTCCAACAAGATTATTGTGGAATCTGCAGTTGCAGACAGTAAGTACTGTAGTTTTTGGATCAGAAGAGAGAACACTCGTGCTAAAGTACACATCTTTAGGATCCAACTATACATGAGGATAGGGACACTTTTAAAACAAGCTTTTAAAACAGCTTCCTTTTGAAGAGCAACCCATCTATCAGCAGCTGCGGGTGGTAAAGAGCAGCCATCTTACAGAAAGTAACAATCTCAGCCGCTATCCCTTGCCCTTGAACGAAGAGTAGAAGCACCCCTCTCCCCACATTTCCTCTGAGCTCTACGGCTTTGAGGAAGGACAGGAAAGAGAGGTCCGCACGAGGAGACGGTGGTCGCCCCCACAGGCTTCTGTGCAATCCGCTGCCGGGGATGGGGAGCATGGTGCAGCCTAGAAAGCAACCTCATGCGACCGCCTCGGCCGACCCTCTCCCCAGACTCTTTGGTCTTGCCCTACGGTAGACAATCCCCAATTGGCTGCCCTCCAGATGTGTTGGACTTTAACACCCATGCTTGCTGGGGGATGCTGGCATTTGTAGTCCAGCCCATCTATCGTCTCCGACCAGAATGGGGAAAGACTACCCCTGACCAGCAAGGTCTACCTGCATACGCTGAATAGCACTGGTTAATACCTATGATTTCCCAGTCGAAACAAGATCAGCGAAAAAGAACAGAAAGCGTACGCCTTTCGGCGCCCCAGCCAACAGGTGATTAAAGCAAAAAGATCCGCTTGCTACAACTGCTCAAGAGGGGATTTTTGCCCGCCTCGTGCCTCTTCAGAAGCACGCGGGTGCACCGCTGCTGCCGACCCTCAGCCACGCTCCCCCACACCATCTGAAGGCCGGCCCTCGCGCCTCCAGCCAATCCGACTGCTCTGCGCCTGATCCGATCCTAACGGCGCTTTCTCATTGGCTGGGCAGGATCCCTCTCCTCACCGCTGAGGGAGCTGCCCAGCCAACCAGGAGGCAGGTGGATTGCCCGTTGATTTGGGCAGGGGAAGCGAGTGTTCTGTTGCTGTGATGAGTTCACGGGGGGCGTTTAGCTGGTGGGTGCCTAGGATCGGGTTCCGCTAGGCTGGGCAAAAGGGAGCAGTTCAGGCTTTTAAATAAGGGAGAGTCTGCCCTGCAAGCCAGCAGCGTCGATGCGCTGTAAAGATTTGTGAGCTCGCGTGCAACGGTCCGGCGAGTCTGAAGAGGGAAGGTGCGGACGCCTTCACTGGTTCTTCGGAACACACTTTCTGAACATAGAAAGGGTCGTGGCTAAGAAAGCGGGGGCTCATCTCTTCCCCGTTCTAAGAAGAGTTCTGGCAAAGAAGGCGGGCGTCCGCCCGGAGTAGGGGGGCTGCTGCACGCCCGGACTCACGAAAAGGTGTTAGCCGTTGTCCTTGGCGGTGAAGAGGAAGGGTGTCGGGTGGGGAAGGAAGAGTTGGGGATACGCTGACCTTTTGGGGTGCCAGCTGCCGGCACAGGTGGCTGCTCACTGGGCGTTAGAGCGGGCGTGGGCGAGCTGAGCGATCCGGTGAGCACGGCTCGGGGAACGAGCGGATTTGAAGACCTCTTGCAAGGGAGAGAGGCTCGAGATGGGCCCCCTGCTCTCTCTCGGGGTTGGGCTCCTGCTGCTCCTGCTGTGGGCCCGCTACAAGGGGATCGCTTATGTGCTGGTCCATCACCGCTGGATTTTCGTGTGCCTCTTCTTGCTGCCTCTTTCGGTCCTCTTCGACATCTACTACCAGTTCCGCGCCTGGTTTGTGCAGAAGCTTCACAGCGCGCCACGGCAGCATAACTTGCGAGTTCGCAACATCCAAAGACAGGTAAGGAGGTGATGTGTGTGGCTGAGCCAGGGGGCAGGGCATAAATGCTTGGGGACAGAGAAGCTGAAGGTGCAGTTGTGCTTTTTGTACTGCTAAGTCAGCCCTTCCGTTTTTACCCCTTTGCTGGTACAGAGATTCTACCATAGAAGAGAAAAGGTACTAGAACTAGCAATAATGTTGTTGTTGTTGTTGTTGTTGTTAGAACATTTCTATGCCGCCCCTTGCCGAAGCCTCGGGGCGGCTTACAACACAATGAAATACAATACAATACAAAATAACAATATAAAATTAAAATTAATAATATAAAATAAATAAATATAAAAATAAACGATATAAAAGAAGTTATAAAAGAAAAGTTATATTCATGTTCTTAAAAAAGAAATCCAAGCTGCATCTTCCAGTTCTGCCTGAATACTCACAGTAATAGCTGTGATGAGTGTTTTCCCACCCCCTTGTGAGTTTTTGATGTGTTTTATTTTGATGTGATGGTAGAAACCTAATATAGAAAAAGAGAGGGAAAGTGTACCCCACATTATCTTGCTGTTGATATCACTCTGGTTTGTATTACTTGGACCTCTCTCAGATGAAAGCATTGTCTAGACAGATGTTTCCTTGCCACAGTTCTAGTGCAAAACTAAGTTGGAAGTGCAGGGAAGGGCACTTACAGGCTAGCACCAGCTTTTTGCACATCTGTTGCTCACTTGGACAGTACCAATCATGCTGAATCTGTTTTAACTCTTGGTCCTCTGATTTTTAAAAAAAAAACATTTAAAAAATATTTTATAGGAACTTGTGGCAGCAGGAGTCTTCCGAAGGCTATTTTGCAATAATGAAATATTCTTATGTGATGTCTTAAAAACAACAATGAAAAATACAGAAATAAACATGCACACACAATCAGGGGATGACAATAAACAATTACGTTTTGAGAACCTTCCCAAAAAACCTTTAATGTTGGGCCCTAATGGACCCTCAGTAGCAGCTCATTCCAGAGGTGTGGGGTCAGTGTGGAAGAGTCCTTTCATTTGGGACTGCCAGGGTTATTAGATTCGAGCGTGACCTGTGACTAAGTACCTGTTAGATATCCTTTCAAAGTTACTAGCTTGCAAGAAAGAAAGGAAATTTTCTAGCCAACTTGACTGCCTGACAGAGCTGCATTTCTGTACTGGTGTGGTGGAGGGAGCTTCCTCCCTTTAGCAGCTGTTTTGGTTTCTGGGTTGGACACAGAGGAACTTACTGTGCATGCTCATGTTCTGGTGAGCCTTGGCTATGAGGCGAGTACTTAAATCTAAGGAAATGTTAGAAAATAGTCAACTCTACAGAAACCATTGATTTGGAAGCATACCGATGGCCGTAAGCTAATTTAGAGAGCAACATGGCTCTTTGATCTAATAATGCTGAAACAATCTTTACTCTCTGTCATCTGCACTGTCATGGGTAGCTCTTCGGCAAAATTCAGCACTGTCTTTTCACTGTCAAAAGGTTTCAGCCTTGAAGGATCAAGTTCCTACTAGAATTGGAGAGCCGCTTTAAGCTTGTTCAAGCTATTTGCTTACCAAGCCCAGAATTGCCTCTTCTGACTGGCAGCAGCCGTTCTGGATCTCTAGCTGATCATTCTTAACACTGGAGATGCCACAGATTGAGCCTTGGGCTTTCTACAGGCACTGCATATATTCTGCTGCCTGCCCAGTCGCATGGCATGAGTGGGTGCCACTTCCAGGGGAAAAGCCAAGGGAGCTTTTGTAAACAAGAAGGTATTTTCTTTCTCCATGTTTGTCAGGAGGCTAAGAAAGGGCTTTCAAATGCCTTCTTGGCAGTTAGAACTGTCTGAGTGTGATTGTTACCCAGTAATGTGATCCCTTGGAATTAGGTCACACATTTGTAGCAAATATGAATTCAGAGACTTGCGATATTCTTTGGTATATTTGCACATATCTATAATAGCTTAAGCATAGATGGGGACTTGCTGCACTAACATCCCAGCAGATTCTGCTCCTCTGTAGGGTACAATGTCCCTTTAGACAGCTCATGATGCTTCCAGAGCTCCAACTCGGCTCTGTCTGTAACTTCAACTTAATCGTGTTTCAGTCTCCAAGGACCACAGCTGATCTAGATACTTGCATTTTCATAGTTGTTTGGCACATCTCTTACTGGAAGTGGGGCAGAAGACAATGGGGGAAGAGGCATTTGTTAAGATTTGCTGGCGAATGATATAAGAGACATTGCCCTCCAGGTGCAAGGGATGACAGCTTGTATAATCTCCAGCCACATGGCAAGTCCTGTGTGCTGGAGGTGGTGGGAATTTTAGTCTGAATACATCTTGAAGGTACCAGACTGTGAAAAGCTGGCCTCTCACACTTTGGTGATCTGCCAAGTTAATCTTGTTTACTCATTCTTGATTTTCCATTAATTCCAAATCTTTTACATTCAGAATCTCTAGACAGTAATATAGGGGATCTATGGAACGTAATTTACACAAATTTGAAATCTCACTACAGTGCATTTTAGTAAGCTAATAGACCTACAGGCTTAGCTTGCAAATTTGAGTTAAGCATGTGTAATTGAAAGAACCCCATATTGCTTGCTTGTTTCATGTCTTCCTATCATATTCCCTCTGATGAAGTTTAGGTTGTAAACACATGGAGGCAGGTAGCTTGGCATTTCTCCCCAATCTATTATGTACATTGGTAATGCTCCATTATAGTAATAGTGGTAATAAAGGAATTTGTCATGGGACACAAACGCTGGAGGGTCTGAACTGTGGCTGTGCGAACAAGCCGAAAGTGGCTTATGGCCAGGCACTAGTCTGCCCTCCAATTCTACCCTTTAACTGTAAAACTAATTAAAAAAAAGTTGTGTGGGGCTTGCATTTGACTGATGAAGTATTGCTTAATAAACAAGGTAAGAAGATTGTTGATGGGGATCAACCAGTATGGTCATGCTTGGCCAGCAGTTTGCCATCTGCACTGGCTGCCAGTCCATGCCAGGCCCAATACGAAGTGCTGGTATTAACATTTGGAATCCAAAGTGGCTTGGAGCCAGGTTACCTGTTGGATCACCTCTGATATTAACCTGCCTGAACCATCAGATCATACTTAGTGGTTCTTCTGAGGGAGCCCCAGTGGGGAAAGTCAGGTGGGTGGCAGTGAAGAAGAAGCCCTTTTCAGTAGTGGCATCCCAGCAAAGGAATGAACTTGCTAGGGAGACTTGCCTGGCACCTACACTGTTAGCTTCAGTCTGTGTTAAATTCTGTATTGCATTTCAAATCTTTATACTGCACTCTGGACTATTTATTTTTTATATTGTCTTTTATGTTTGAAATTGCTGTGAACTGCCCAAAGAGCTTTGTTCTAAATAAAATAATAGCCAGCTATTTAAAACGTTATTTAGAATGCCAACAGAATCAGACTAATTCAGAAATTCTTCTAGTAGACTATACTTCACTTTCCCTTGCAAACTTTTTAATGGGCTGGATCAGAGAAGCTGTCCTTTCTGCAGGAAATGCAGTAGAATTGATCATACTGGCTCCCCAGTTTCCTCTCTCATACGCTATCTGAAACTAGCAGTAGCTAATAGATTAGCTCTAATTACTGTAGTCTACTTGTGAAAGATTTAGAATGGGAAGGAAAATGCCATTCTTGCAAAGCTTTTTTTCCCCCTAATTCATTGTGCTTCTCTGTAATTGTAGTTCAGTTTACCTTTGATTGACAACTTCTAGTTGATTAATATCAGGGGTTGATGCAGACACAACATTCCCAGTTATAGTATATCTTCACTGAAGGAGTAGAAGAGGAGAATATCTGATTTTCCAGCCCGTTCCTGTGTGAATTCTTCTAGCCTACATGTTCTTCATTGACCATTGTAATGTTCTGCTGCTCCGGAGTCCCCACCTCTCACGGATCTCCTGGTGAATCCACACCCAGAACTCCCCACTCCCAACAACCAGGGAGCAGACACACAGGATTCAGCACATGCCCATCCAAGTACCTGCAGGAAACAGAACTTTGTTGAACATAGAACATACAGTAGAAGTGGAGAATGTAAAAGGCAAACACTCAGCAAGGCAGACACACACACACAAGGAAAGGGGAATTGGAAAGCAGCATAGAAATACAGAGTTCAAATCCTAAACATAATTCCCAGACCTTTTGACCATCTCAGATGGTCAAACAACAAAGCTAGCTGACCTACCACTAATATAGAATAGAATACTTAGCAGAACTTTCTCACAAGCAGCATAGCACAGCACTGATGGGCAGAGCCAGTGACAGCAAGTGGTTTCTCTCCGAAAAGGGAACAACCACCAGGCTAAACGCTCCCCTTTTATTTCCCCCTCCCCTAAACAGTCAGAGCCCTTGGTTCCATGGGGTGACATTCCCAGGTGGGACCAGTCAAATCAGTGCCCCCCCACCTTTCCAGTGCCCTTCTCCCAGGCATGTGATTTGTCCTGTCCTTGAATGATTTGCAGTACCGTTGATGTTTTCCCAGTCCTTCCTCTGCCTGGCCTAGGCCCAAAGTGACCTTGGGACCGCTGCCTGGGCTCTGAACAACCAAGTCTTGCGTTAACTCTTTCCTTCCCCTTGCTAATTAGAGTTCCCATATTAACCAGGCTTTGTGATAGGTTTCAGACTTGGTAGGTTTACTACCAAGTCCCTATTCTACCATATTTCCTTTGCACCAGGTCTGCGTTTTACCAAAATTAGTAAAAGTCATGTCGGTATCAGTGGATCAGCCAAGATGGTGATGTAAGAACTGGCACAACTATGGGTTTTGTGCTTCTTTGCTATATTACTTTTTATGCTTAGCTGCACTCAGTGATTCTGGGAGGCAGGGGAATGGAATGCCACTGAATAGATGAAGCTGAATCTGCTTTAGCTGCTGAGGGATATGACACAAGTGACACTTTTGCTTATGGGTTAATTCTTCTAGTTAATTTCTGAAGTCCATGCCTGATCATAAACCCAAGGATTAGAGTTTGTAGTACTATAGCAGTGGGCAGTATAGTTTAAGGTGTTCAAAGCTTTGGTTGCAATCCATCCTTGTAAATTTAATTTCATTTTTTACATTATTATCCTTGGATGTGAATATGTTGGACCTGGGTTTACAAAGGGTCTTAGGGTTCTGCTCAAGGCTCTCTGATTTGAGTGGAGGGGGGGTAGGGTTGGAGTTGGAGGTTGTCTCTAATTCAGAGGCCTTGGCTCTACCACAGAAGTGGTGCTCAAGTCCAGTGCTTCATCCATGTGTGTGCCACTGGATTATAGTCAGAATCAATTTTCTCAGTTGAATGTCCGTTTGCTAGCATTATATGTTAGCACTTTCAAGCTGGAGAACAGTTTTATTTGCTATATATACATAATCAAATCGAATCGGTCTTCCTTTCTTGTAGGTACGAGAATGGAAGAAAGAAGGCCAAAAGACATATATGTGCACAGGCCGTCCTGGCTGGCTTACAGTGTCACTTCGTGTTGGAAAGTACAAGAAGACTCTTAAGAATATAACAATCAACTTGATGGATGTTCTAGAGGTAGATACGGAAAGACAGGTAAGCTTGAAATGTACACTGGCATTTCAGTTGGGCTTTCACATCAGACAGGTATGGGAAACTCCAGTCCTTTGGTCTGATTTTTGTAACTGTTTTTTCTGCTTTTGAGCAATCTGTTCATGAACATTCCATAATGCTTCAGCAGCAGTGGCTAGGAAGCCAAACACTTGCATTCTGCAGCCACGTACATTTTAAAGTCTGTAAGTATAAGACCAAGAAGGCAAAGCAGGGCCAGGAGCAAGGCAAGGTCAAAAAGGACAAGGAGGGCAAGACCAGAGTCAGGAACAGGAAGGAATCAGGTTGGTTGAAAGCAAGGCAAGGCTAGAGACAGGATCAGGACCACAAAGCAACCTCCACAAAGGTCCACGTTGCTGTGGCAAAACTGAGCGGCATGGAGAAGCCTTTCAGAGAGCCTTCAGAGCTCTCAGCTGCACTGCATGATCACAGAGGCACTGGTCCTTTCAGGGACATGCAAGGTGACTCACACTGCTCATCACCAGGCTACAGATCCTGATGCTATGAGATAAATGCAGATAACTGCTTGCTTTGAAATTATACAAAACAGCAGCCTTTATCTGTAACCATTCCACTACAGTCTGGGTTTAGTCCCAGTTCTGGAACAGATTTGGTCTTGGGCACCTGGATGAACGACTGAGAGAGGGCCAGGGGAGACCCACGTGACCTCAGTGGCCTAAAGCACCCATTACAAACTTTGGTTGGTGTGCCAACACAACCATTCCTGTGTTAGCCTAGTGGAAGTCTAGCAGTAGTGATCCTTGCATTGGCAATGTCACAATTAGACTATTATATTAAGCTCTGTTTGGGGCTGCCTGGTTCAGAAGCTGCACCTGGAGCAAAATGCAGCAGCTCAGGTGCTCAGTGGAACACCTCGCTTTGCATGTATTACACAGGTGTTACAAGAACTGCACTGGCTGGCTGTTTGCTATTCAGCCACACTGGATGTTTTGTTGCTAACATCCAAAGTCCTAAACATCTTGAGTTCAACCTAACAAACTACCTCCCTCTAGACACCAAATTGATTCCTTGCATTTTCTAAGGAGGCTTCATTGGTCATTTGATGACCAACAGTGTGTCATCAAGTAACAGTACATAAGCAGGTTTTCTTGGTATTGGAACCTATGATCTGAAACACTCTCTCCTGTGAGGTCCAAAATATGGAAACTGGAAAAATTGAGAATCCCCTTAAAAATGCATGTATTTCTGTTTACTTGGACTTTCCTGACACATAAGCATCCTGCTCTGTTTTGCTGCTTTTATAACGTTTTAGATGAATTTATTGGTTTTATACTGGTTTTTAAAATGTGAACCACTTAAAGAGTGGTCCTGTGGGCCACTAGGAAGCATCTAGAGCAGTGATGGTGAACCTTTTAGAGACCGGGTGCCCAGACAGACAGACGGACATATTGGCAGCGGACTGACTGGTCATGCGACAGCTCAGACAAGTTGCGGCTAATGAGTCACGGCTCGTGATGTCATCGCCTGGTGCCGCTACTCCTTTCCGAGCATGCGCATGGCCCCTGTGTGCACTGTTACCTGATTCTCGGCTTCTGGCACGAGTTGGCTCATGTGCTGACAGAGAGGGCTCTGCGTGCCCACTATGGCAAGCGTGACATAGGTTCACCACCACTGCCCCAACCCTACCGTGGTGCACACCCCTAACCCTAATACAGGGTGAAATTTCCATTGAAAAGAGGGCGATTTTGAAAAAGCCTTTCTTGAGTAGCTTTCTCTGCACAGCTCATCATTTCTGCACATTCTAAACACATTGCAACCAGCAAAATCATGCCAGGACACCTCGATTTCCTAACCCTAACCCAGTGATGGTGAACCTTTTAGATACCGAGTGCCCAAACTGCAACCCAAAACCACTTATTTATCACAAAGTGCCTACAGTGCAATAAAACCTGAAAACAGCCAGTCCAAGCAAATATATACACATACTTGGCAGCATATTGACCAGCCATGCGAAAGCTTGGATGAGTCGCAGCCTATGTGTCACGGCTTGTGATGTCATAGCCTGGCACCACTACTCTTTTCTGAGCATGCACATGGCCCCTATGTGCACTGTTAACCTATGCTCGGCTGCTGGGGCAGCTTGGCTTGCATGCCGACAGAGAGGGTTTTGCATGCCCGCTATAGCACGTGTGCCATAGGTTCGCCACCACTGATCTAGAGGGTCACTTAAGGCATCACATTCTAGAGATGAAGTTGGAAACGTGCTCCGGCCTCACTGCTCAGGACCCACTCAGCATCAGTGCTGAAAGAGCAATTTTAACAAAGGGCCTTGGGTGGGGGGGGGGGGGGGCTGGGGCCTGCCAAGGTACAGCGTGTCCTGATGCTGCTCCAGCCTCTTCTCCTCATCAGAAGCGCCACAGGCAGGCAGAATCAGCCGCCAAGCTGGTTTGCAGATGGCAAGAAGAGTGCTGCCTTGCTCTTTCTCCCCTGCATAGCATGCCCATAATTCTCAGATGGCATGTAAGTGCTTTAAATAAAATAAATTGGAGTATCTCTGACTACATTCCCTACTATTAAATGCAGCTTTGTCTGCTAGAGCTGCTAGAGAAACTACTGTTTTGCTCTTCCACATAAAGTGCAGTCATATGGTAGCAATTACAAGCATTGCACATTACCCATCATGTATAAGCACTGTAATTCGTAATGCTGGTGTGTGTCTGTACTAATATTAGCTGCAAAGCCCCAATTGACCACCTTCCCTTATACTGACCATCCCAGGATTTCACATTGACTGCAGATTCTTTGCTTGTTAGTCCCACTGAGGAATGGCAGGGCCTTTTCTATGGCAGCACCCCTGCTGTGGAACTCCCTTTTGGTAAAGATTCAGCTGTTGCCCATGCTAGGTACTAGTAAACAGTAAACCTGTTTATTTGTGCAGGCTCTGAGGATACAAGCAAGTGCTATATTGGTTTTTTGGTCAATTGTGTTGATGGTTTATTGTACTTAATTATATGTTTATTTATATTGTAGAGCTAAAAATTTAAAAATTACGTTGTGTGCTGTGTTTTACATAGATAGTCAGCTGCCTTGGGTTTTTCATGAAGAAGGGTGGAGTATAAATCAAGCTGATTTTTAAAATGCTACATTTTCCTTGTGTTTCTTGATGCATAACACCCAGGGTGGCTTTCAGAGTTGTAGGTAACAGAGGTTGGTCTGCAAGCAGCAAAAGTACAGTACAGGTTTGTACTGATCAATGGTATTCAGAGTGTGCTATGTAAAATATGTTCTGCCATAGGTTGTCCGTGTGGAACCTCTGGTGACAATGGGGCAGTTAACAGCACATCTCAATCCCATGGGCTGGACCATTCCAGTGGTACCGGAACTTGATGATCTTACAGTAGGTGAGAGTCCTTGGGTTGTAGGCATGCTTTCTGCTTCTCTTCAGATGCTCCACATACTATGTTAGAAATGATAATGCTTCGCCACTGAAAGCAAACCATCCCTGAAATGCCTCTGTGGTGCTTAAGATCTAATGCTGTGACACCTCTCCCATGAACATTACGGTGGTACCTTAGCTCGCGAACTTAATCCCTTCCATGACTCTGGTCGCAACCCAAATTGGTCATGACCCAAGTCAAATTTCCCCATAAGGTTCAATGTAAATAAGGTTAATCCTTATTTGAAAACAACGTGACAAAAATTTGAAACATGACAAAGAACAATAAAGCTCACAGCCATCTCCCCCCCTCACCCACCCACCCAGCACGACCACAATCGTGCCCGTCTTCCCTGCAGGAGCATGACCGTGATCGTGCCCATCCCCCACCCCGCTGAGCATGATTGCAGCCATCTCCCTAACCCCCCTGCAGCACAACCGCGATTGTGCCAGTCTTCCCCGCACAAGTGCGACTGAAATCACAGCCATCTCCCCTGCCCCGAGCATGACCGCGATCGTGCCCTTGCAGGAAAGACGGGCACAATCATGATCATCACCCAATGCGGGGTTCGCGACCTGAGGCAATTTTTTCCTGAAATTTCTGTTCACGACCCAATTTGGTCGTGAACTAAGGCGTTCGTGAGCCGAGGTACCACTGTATTTTGTTCCTTATCAGATTTCTGTTCCTTATCAGATTTCTGTATACATTTAAAGTAAGATTCAGCTGACTCTTGTGCATGGTTTCTTGCTTAGGTGGCTTGATCATGGGGACTGGCATTGAATCTTCCTCCCATACTTATGGACTATTTCAGCACACCTGTGTGGCTTATGAACTTGTCCTTGCTGATGGAAGCCATGTGAGGTGTACACCAGTAAGATAATTTACTTACACACAATCCATGAAATGTTACTATGCTGTATTGATTATGTGCTGCTATACAACTTAGTTTGCTGTGCTTTTCCTAGGACGAGAATTCAGATCTATTTTATGCAGTACCTTGGTCTTGTGGTACACTGGGCTTCTTGGTTGCGGCAGAAATAAAGATGATCCCAGCAAAGAAATATGTGAAATTGCATTATGAGCCTGTAAGAGGATTGAAGACTATCTGTAAAAGATTTGCTGAAGAATCTGGGAGGAAAGAGAATGATTTTGTGGAGGGTCTGGTGTATTCTTTGGAAGAGGCTGTCATAATGACAGGAGTTTTGACCAATGAAGCTGATCAGAGCAAGGTAACATAATTTATTTTTTTCACTTACTAAGATCAATTTGCCTTAATCTGTTGTAGATGCAAGTTTAGCATGTTGCTTCTAAACTCAGATGATTCATCTCCTTGTGTCAATACTTCTACTAGTGTAAGTGTCATGGCTTCACCGGGTGGATCCTGAGGAAAGTAGAAGCATTCCTCAACCTGATGCCCTCCAGATGTTCTGGATTACAGTACCCACAAGCCCCACCAAGCATGTCCAGTGGTTGGGGATGATGAGAGTTGGGAGAAAAAATACCTGGAGGGAAGCAGGTTGAGCAGAGCTGCTGTTGAAAATTCTATGTTGAACCTAGTCTCCCTTATGGAACAATATTTTTCCTGGTTCTCGGAGATAAGGGATGAATTTTTAAACAAGTTTAAGCCTTTACCAATTCTTACTATTATGATTTTTTGCAACATTATTCAATGTGACTAAAATGGAGCTTCCAGAAAGCAACTTTGGCTTTGATCCAGCAGAATCCTTTCACAAACAGAAAGAGTGACATTGTGGCAGAGCTTTTGGAAACAGAAGAGAAGAGGTTTTATCTGCTTGCCCCTGCAGCCTTCCATGCTGCTTCTCATGCCATTTAGACATTCTCTCAACTCTCCAGAGCTGATTTCCACAGGGATGGGCGAACCAGTGTGAATCACATGCACTTTCCATTTCTGGGAGCCAAGAGTTCTCAAAGTTTTTTGGATCTGGCCTTTTGAATCCTCCATGGAACAAACCAGTTTAACACATTAAGTAAAGACTAGTAGAAAGCAGTGCATTCCAAATCCATCCTTGGGATCAATCAGTGTCTTAAACGCTAGGCCTATTTCTACAAAAACGTGCCATGTTGAGAGTTTCCATGAAATGTATATATATTCCATGACAAGTCCTTAGAATCTGGGTAAAATCTAAGTGATCCATCCACTCCATCAAATCTTCAGGGCACTGATTCTTTTGAATGAGTGATCTTTAATACAATTTCTTCCTACTAGAAGAGGTGCATGATGTTTGCATTCTGGATAGTCTTTGGCCACAGAAGCATTAATCATACTTGTCCAGTGGTCTGTCCTAAATATGTTGATAAGTGGACTGCATTGTGTGTCTGTACATAGATGACCCGGCTCCCATGTTCACCATAAACAAGCCACCGTGCTTTGTTTCCGTCCAAGCACATGCTGGGCCCCATTTGTCTAATTACCTGCCCAATCAGGATTTGTGTCATCTAAACCTGGAAAACATGGCTTGTTGCAGGAAGAAAAAGCTTTTAAATAGCATAGGCCCTGGTTTATTTGAGGACTATTTTCCATTCCAAAGGGCTCTGTCTCCCAGAAATGAATAGCACAACAAGCCCCGTGTGGGCCAGTAAATAGGCAAAGGGCACCCAAGCACACACTCTGACTGAAGTCGGCATGGCTTGTTGAGGTGCAGTGACCATATACAGGAGCCCACTCTTTCTGGTGTGTCCGGTCAATTCACTCTGACCAGTGATAGATATTTGCCTAATATCATTAATGGTTGACTACTGAATCAAACAGAGTTGTTGCTGGTTTTTTTTAAAAACTTCCTGTGCTTCCTCTTAAGATTAATAGAATCGGGAAATACTACAAGCCATGGTTTTTTAAGCATGTGGAGAACTATCTGAAAGCTAACAAGACGGGAGCAGAATACATTCCAACAAGGCATTACTATCACAGGCATACACGGAGCATTTTCTGGGAGCTCCAGGTAAGGTGCTAATTCATACAAGTTTATAATGGTGTGGATACTGATTATGATGCTGACTGTTCCTCTAAGCCACAAACACTTCCTTGCCCCTGCTAATGATATGCTTACAGGGCAATCCTGTGGTCTCTGGTATAGCATCCCAGAAGCTTGAGAGAGATCAGAAATCTGTTGCTGAGGTCAGAGAGGCGAGGAGGAGAACCAGTCTCAGAGTCCCCTCTTTGTTCCCATGGAAAAATCCAGGCCTTTCACTGCTCCTTTTTTGGAGAGGAGGACAATGATGATCAAGGGAATGGTGTGGGGGCAGAGCATGGGAGACTAAGGATCCAGAGCCCTCCCAGCTTCTAACCGTGCCCCTGATAGAAGGACACATTAAGACCAGCCCTAGAGTTGGTCCCCCTGTAAGCAAAGAGGGGGAAATGCAGAGGCCAGCCAGGCCAGCTGGAGGCCAGCATAGCATGCCTTTGAGAAGGTTGGGGTGTTGCAACACAGAATAGGATTGTTCCCTTGATCGGCAAAGTGACAGGAGTGGCTGGTCCTTCTTCATAAAATACGGAATTGAACTGACCGTGGTATTCTTCCAAAGAGAATAGTATTTCTTGTGTTAAACCTATTTGCTAGCTCCAGAAAAACACTGACAGTCCTAAAACACTTGGTTGCATAGAGGTGGTCCAGTGGCAGGCTAGTTAGTTTCTCATTCGTGCCAGTGAGCTGTCCACCGGCAAAAGGGAGAGTGTGACATTGGGATGGTGGTCCATGATACTGGGCCTGATACTTCTGCCCATTGATTCTAGCGGCAAAAATAACTGAGGACCTATTGGTCGAAAGGCATCTGGGTTCCATAGGAAATTCATGGTACAATATTGAGGCATGGTTTTTCTTGAAGATATCCCTTCCCATGCTAAGAATCCACTTGCTCGCATACGTACCTACAAGTGCTACAGTAGGGGAGGAGGGGTATGGCAGAAATGGCTACAGCGGTGATCAGCAAATGGACAGTATCTGGACAGTGTATGTGCACCTGTGCACACTTATCCTATGGAACACAGCGACACTCTTCTTGTCATCTTAGCCTGCATTGCAAAGCTTCTTCTATTCTCCCTGGTCCACCTTTTTCTGGAAGGCAAAGACCAGTTCAGTAAGATGTTTATAAATGAGCCTTTCTGCGAAAATGAAGCTGTTTCTCTTCCCTTTTCCTTCACTCCCTGGAAGAAAATGTTAAAACAATGATCCAAAGCAGATCTGTATTTACTGTAGTTGTAATTTATACTGTTTGGGTATAGAAATGAGCACCATTAATAATGGCTGAGTACCGTTCACTGATTTTTTAAGTCTGTTATGCAGATCTGAAATGCACATTTTCTTAGTATTTGTATTTGTATCTTTTATAGGATATCATTCCTTTTGGCAATCACCCTATTTTTCGCTTCCTTTTCGGCTGGATGGTTCCTCCTAAAATCTCCCTTTTAAAACTGACCCAAGGAGAAGCAATTCGAAAGCTGTATGAGCAGCACCACGTGGTTCAGGACATGATGATCCCCATGAAAAGCCTTGAGCAATGTATTGAAACTTTCCACAGTGACATTAAAGTAAGGACACCTTCCCTAACTTCGCGGTGGTGCTTGGCGGCAGGTGCCTGTTGAACTGAGCATGTGCCGGCTGCGGTATTCAGGAGGGGTGGAGGGAGGCTCCTCGGAGCGACCTTGTGGCAATACTGTGACACGTGTATATTTGCCCTCCACTAGGTTTATCCACTGTGGCTGTGCCCCTTCATACTGCCTAATAACCCTGGCATGATTCATCCGAAAGGAGATGAGGCAGAGCTGTATGTAGATGTGGGAGCCTATGGAGAGCCCAAAACGAAACATTTTGAAGCCATGGCTTCCACCAGACAGATAGAAAAGTTTGTAAGGCATGTTCATGGGTAAGCGTCTAAGATCTTAAAAGGACTTTGTAATGTTCTGAGCACTTCCTGATAGTAATCTGTTTACCTCGGGCAGCAAATTGTAAATTAACATCGTATTTGCTACTTTGATGCATTTTGAATGTTTAAGTGAAGGGGTTGTCAGGCTAGGTAGGCCATGGTCACATGGCTTGTGTGAGAAAACTATGAGATATACATTGAAATGGCTGCTGTGGTGTGTGGATAGTCATAAAATGGCTGTCTTGGGGTAGCCAGTTAGGAAATGTTGGGAACATCCATCACTCCTCTCTCTCTCTCTCTGTGCTCTCCCCCCACCCCCATTTCCCCCATGCGCACACACCTACACACCATTTTTCCATCTGTCCAAATGAATGGCACGTGAAGGGAAGGTCCCTGCTGAAGAACAGCTAAGAGTCAGCCCTCTGCCAAGAAACCTGTTGAATCAGGATCCTTCATAAGGAGATGGGCTTTTTCATTGACATGGGTTTTTTTCCTATCTATCTATCTATCTATCTATCTATCTATCTATCTATCTATCTATCTATTTGGAGAACTTATATGCCGCCCCATTCGCATAAGCCTTGGGGCAGCTTCCAAACCATAAATAAATATAATTGATACAATTTCATAAAATTATTAATTACATTAATCTGTGCAAATTAATGGAGAAATTACATCATGCATGTATAGAAGAAGAAAACATAATTTGGCAGGCAGTGCACTGTCAGATTTCAGGTATAAATGCTTTAAATGAAATGCTATTTTCAGTGCTTCCAGTTTGGGTGTCTGAAGGCTACTACACAATTCCAAGTGTGTTTCTTTTTGTCCCAAATGCAGAATTATTCCTATGGAGTGCTGCTGGGGAACACAAGGCTAGGTCAGACCCGAACAAGTGGTACTGGTATTGGCAGAGCAGCTTGTTCTAAGACACAGACAGTAATTGCCATTTTATGATAGAGATTTCTAAGACTTGTTTCTCATTTTTTCCAGTTTTCAGATGTTATATGCAGATTGCTATATGACCCGTGAGGAGTTCTGGGAAATGTTTGATGGTTCCCTATACCACAAGCTGAGGAAACAGTTTCAGTGCAATAATGCTTTTCCAGAGGTGTATGATAAAATCTGCAAAGCTGCAAGGCATTAAATCCAATTCACCCAAGCAAGGAATCAAGGAGACATTGGATTTAACAATAACTAATTTCTGTGCTCCTAACAAAAAGATGTTGTTGCTGTCCCAAAGACTTCAGGCATCATTAAGAGTGCATACTCCTCCCTGTTTATCAAAATATAACTGGTAATTTCTTTTAAAAACAATCTATACCCTTCATAATGTTCTTTTTTAAGGATTCCATTTTTAACCTATCTGGTTTAATTAGCTTAGCTATTGATCTGCATTGATTTGTTTAGTGATCTAGAAGGGAAATGGAAAAAGCAGAATCCTAAAGTAGAACAGTGACTTCTAGTTAAAATTACACTTGAACTAGTAATTGCCAGTGGGAGTTTTCTGAGAGATCTGCTGCTGCAGATGTCATTGGATGTCGTTCCATTTTTAGAACGTGGCCTCTGTCTGAGAGTAGCGTCGAATGCAGCTACCAAATAAGACTGCCTTGCAAACGTCACAGTTGCCTATGCCACATTGCTAACCTCACCCAGGATTTCCATGAGCACCGTTTGCATTAGACTCACCTCTATAAACCTGTCTGACCACTTTCGGACTTTGTTTTTCAGGCAGTTTGAACCAGTCCACATTCTTCTTAGCTTCATTCTTCACTCACCTTTATATATTTCTTTGGTGGTTCCCCTCAAGGTTTCTTTGCAGACAAAGACTGTTTCTGGCATGCAATGGAGAAGGAGGGCATTTATATCTTTGTTTTGCCTGTTTATAAAATAGGTTGTTTTTGTCACAGTATTACTGGTCTTTTAGCACACCCTGATGAGCTGACGGGTTTTTCTCAGAGGTTCTCTTACAAGACATGGAATATGTTACACATATGTATACTTCTTCCTGTTAACAGGTTTATAATGTGCTTGTCAGAAATGCAAGACTAGTCTCACTTTTAACTGAACACAGAAAGTATTGCCACTGATTTGACATTGAACTGCAAAGAGATTTCATTTTTGTGCCTACCTATTCTATGCTTATTTCATGAAATGTAGTAAATGGCAGTGGAGTTTTGTATAGTAGAAGATCACGTACATCAACCATGCACTGAAAGGCAAGATATTTTTCTCTTGCCTTTTCAGTTGTCAAATTGTTTCAATCCCTTTACAGAGATATTTGTTGTGGGACTCTTCCATTTCTACTAAGGATTTTTAGTGCCTTAAACTGGAAGAAGCCTGGATCATTTTCAAAAGTTCAGTAGCAGTTAGAAGTGTGTACGTGTGTGTGTGCCTGTGCAAGAGACAGAGAACCTTTCTTTCCTTGCTGGCCAGACTTGTGCACCACACTTAGGAGAAAGGGAGTTGGAGGCCTTGTATCATGCAGCCCACTATTACATATATTTAATCAAAGACTCGTTGAGTTGGTAGGCCTTATTTCCAACTAAGAACACAGAGTTGGAGCTGTAGAGGTACAGAAGCCAAATTCTCAAGTAGACAACATGAAAGACTGGGTATCATTTCTTCGTTATCTTCTCTATTCCTGTCTGGGATTTCAAATGTTAAAGTGCGGCTGTTTTCTTTCCTGGATTAATATAAACTACTAATTAGATTAAACTTTCTAATATTAGTTGGGTAAGTCTCTTTAAGAGACAGGGTACCAATACCTCCAACATAATTTAACGCTTGATCACTTTTCGTTCAAGCCATGAAACTTGAAGCTACTGTTTTACATCAATAATCAATTTAAGGGGTCTTGTTTAATTACTGCTTTACATCAATAATCAATTTAAGGGGGTGGGCTTTGTTTTGATTTTAGTTACACCAGGTCTAGCCAAAATGTGATCCAAAGACTAATTATTTATTTGAACATAAGGATAAATCTTTGGCTTGATAAAACATGCCATATGAATACATATAAGCAACTGTCTGTGGGGTTTGATTTACAGTGCTCAGCTGAAGATTTTATTTATCAGAGGGCTGGTTGCGAGCAAACTAATGAGATCTTCTAGTCATTCAGAAGTGCACACATGATCACATTGTGAGCCATTGGACAAGTATTTCTTGAGAGGTAAAGACACTGCTTACAGTTAGGTGGTCCTGTTCATATATCTGAAAACCACTCTCATGATGCTTGTGAGAACAGAAAACGAGGGAATCTACAAAAGGCCACCATAGCTATGCCAGTGTGTTTGGCATAAGTTGAATGCAGAAATGGACTGGAGAGTTAAAGGTAATCTGTGCTCACCTATTTCTGTAGGATATGTCTTTCTTTTGTGCCACACATGGTATCACAGGTTGCATCTGCAAGTGTGTGGGTTGTCCTCTGTTGTTGCAACTATAGTACAAAGAGACAGCTCACTCAGATGTTCTAATCTAATGCCAGAAGCAACAATGTACTTTATGTTGCAACTGTCAGCTGTTCTCTGCTGCTGTACTTGGGCAGAAATTGTGGTATTACCATATAAATGTTATTTTGATGTGGCCAAATAAAGTTGTGTTGAAGACTTTTATTGTATATCTAGTATCACAATCATTTAGTATGTATGGACGACCTGTTTAGAACTTTCATGCTCCCAGGACCCCAGCTCAAATTTGCCGGGTAGGTCTGCTTTTCAGAATCATGCATTCTGCACTCACATTCCACTTCCACACCATAGGGCTAAGGGGAGGAGCACTTGGAATAATGCAGAGACCACCTAAACACAATCCTTAGGCTGCTGTGTCCCTGAATCCAGTGGACTTACTGGTCATCTTTTCAGAACCTATTGCTGCGTATTGCTTCTTAAAGAACCATGCCTTCATTGGCCCACAGAAGGTCTCAGAAGTCTACCTTGCTGACATTTCCCACAGGGGTCTGACCTGATTACCGTTCCAGGCTTTAGTGCATCATCACACATTACTTTGTTTAGATGGGATAATTTTTAAATGGCTAAAAGAATAGATTAGAGAAATGCATACTAAATGTCTATTCATTTATTTTAATCCACCCTATAACAAAAATACTCTAGGCGGATTTTATAAGGCTAAAAGAATAAAAGGTAATTCAAAGAATGACAGCATAGGATAAGCAATGTAAAACAGATAAAAGCCACGGCAATATTAAAGGGCCTCAGAAAAAAAACATTTTTCACCTAGAATTGAAAATGCACGTGGAGGTACCAGGTGAGCAGGGATGGAATAGTCTGTAAATGGGGCCTGAAAGGCCCTTTCTTGTAGCCACCTACCTAACTTGTGGGACAGCTGCAGGCAGCCTCTGCAATTGACCTAAAAGCCCAAATAAGCCGAAGGAAGGGAGCTTCTCAGAGATACTCCGGCTCCAAGACGTTAGGGTTTTAAAGATAAAAACAAATACTTTAATTAGGCTCAGAAATGGGCTAGAAGCCAGGGCAGCTGTTGGCACGTGGTCATGAGCAGTTTCAGACAGAAGCCTGAGAGCTCTATTTTGACTTAACAGGTTTCTGAGCCATGTTCAAAAGTAGCCCCGCATGCAGTATGTTTACAAGGAGCTGACTAGAGTGCAGATCACTTGGTTGACTCTGGCCCAGGGTGGCCATACCTGTGACATCAAGTTAATGAAAGGCATTCCTTACCTCTGAAGCCACAAGTGCCTCAATCATGAAACAGCATCTCCTCTCTCCAGGAGAGTTGACGTACTGTCTAGAACAAGTTGAACAGTGACTGATAAGGCAAATCTTGCCTGAAATGAGTTTCAATTTATTGGTCCTTATCCATAATAGCATTTAAGAAAATTTATCTCTTCTGAATTGGGTTGTAAATCCAAGCATCTACGTAGATATCAACAACACCTCAGCCTGCACCTCCAGAAAAACTGGTTGTAGTTTTGTGCAGGTGTTAAACAGAAGATAAAAACTCAGCCCTGCAGAAACCTCTTCCATTGAATTGAAGAAGATAGTCACTGTAGGACAGTGCCTCCGATTCCTATCCCAGCAAGGTGGCCAAGATGGATACCATGGTCAATGGTATCGAAAGTCATTGAGAGATCCAGCAGAAGCAACAGGGACACACTTACTCCTGATCCCAACTAGCCATCCTCTCTTTACTAGATGTAGCAAGACAAGCACAGATCAAGTGCATAAGTAAAGTGCACGTTGACTCATTGGAGTACTTCCCCCTCTTTTTCACTGATGAAGATAACATCACGTGCCTGTTCTTGCATCAGCACAGAGCTGTCCTTTCTACCATATGGCTTTCCGGCATGAAGCATATTGCAAGAGGAGTAGCACAGACTTCCCACAAGGATTTTTTGTGTTGGAACTGTTAGATGCAAGGGGTTCGGACCTTGGTGCACTCAGCTCAATTACACACAAGGTGAGAGATTGAAAAGGTATCTTTATTCTGAAAAATGAGTTTCATCACAGCAAAATGGCAATTGACCCCAGGAGCATGGTGGAGTTCTCGACCAGGCAGCAAGGGCAGCTGCTTATTGGGTTGAAATTCCCACCGGGTTTCCTGGTTGACACATTTGAATCCATGTGACCTCTGCTCACAGTTAGGGGTCAGGTCTACCTGGGAGCTGAGGTGGAGATCTCTGGACAGGAGACTGCTCATTCTCTGCCCGTTGGTGATTCTCTGTTGTGTTGTAACCATGCTGTAGGTTCTCTATCGTGTGTATGGCTTGGAACATGACAAGCTGGCCGTGTATGTCCTGCAGAACTATATGTTGCGTTACCCAAAACATGATGATGCTGTGATACAGAGGGGAATTGCAAAACCACAGTAGGCTTCAGTCATAAATAATGGCCTCATCTGGAAAAAACATCAGATTCCTAGGAATTAAGAAAATTCCAAAACTGACTGGAAAACTTGTCATTATCCTCTAGGACCAATTCCATCAGGAAAAGACCATGCAACTTCCATGAGTCAAATATCATAGGTGCATAATACAAGCCTTGTGTAGAGAAGCTGATGGTATGTGGGAGATCTATTGTCTTCTGATTTGTGCATCTGAGTTGAGTTTTTCTAGAGTTCTGGTTTTCAGCCCATCCTCCCTTTCTTGCATGGATTCATTTCTTTAGCTTATACTTTGGTTTAAAGTGTAACACTTTTAACAGAACTCTGTGTCATGAATGTTGTGAGCTGCTTGGGTATCCAGGTAAAAAGGATGCAGATATCTTCTTTAAGGTATAATAGAAGACTACTATTTTATTTGACTTGCTCTCCACAGTTCAATTAAGTAAAATAAGCAAATACAAGCTGACATTCAAGCCTCCAAGAACTGCCTTGCTAGAGGATTGAAAAAGTGTAATAGCTACCCACAGGCCAATAATTTATGAATTCTTGTTACTACATGATCTTGGCAGAAAAGACTCACTCTCTTGCCATATCTTCTTTATATACCTTCCTTTCCTGGGGTGGGGTGCTAAATGCAAAGCACAGCTAAATGCAAAGTACAAACACTCCCTTTTCTCACAACATAAAGGAACAATTTTTGGATTATGGATACAATGATAGTAAGCATGTCCATTTCTATGTCAATTTTAATTTTGACCTAATTCTGGCCGTAACCTGATTTAAAAAGAGAAATGTGTTTTCCAGATTCCACCATGTGTCTTGGTATCTTTGACAGGTGATCACCAAAATCACCAAGAAATTATTTCAAATGGGTATGAGTTATTTCAGTGAAGCAGATGTTTAGGGATCAATGTTCTCTTCATGCAGTTAATGGTGGCAGAATTTTCCATAAAAGCAAATGCCTGATGGCTGAAACACGTCTTGCTTCAAGAAGCAACAAGGACTGCTCAGGCAGATGCTGGGTACTTCCAGTGGCCTTTATTAACAGGTGTGATTCGCTCCCTGAAAAAAAGAAAAAAGGATGGGCTGAGAAAAGAGTAAGCCAGCTTGGGAGGGGGAAGGTTTGAACCTTTTTTCAGCCAATGGACTGAATTCAAGTTTCAGGTACGTTCTTGGAGGCTGCATTTCACTCTGGTGAGTGAGGCCAAAGAATTTTAGCTGAAAGCTCTTACAACTAAGAACAAAACTTCAGGAGAGACATTTTAACCTTCCCGAATGGGTTACGATGCATAAAAGCAGGATCAGGAGGTCAGGAGAAAGAAGGTAGGGTGATGTGGTGAACTCTGGAAGGACAGATTTGTCCCATGTGCCTGAGGTTTAACATTCCTGCAGTGATATGTTTATTCCACCTTTCATCAAAGGAGAATGGTAGTGTAGCTTCATAAAAGCTCTCCTTTGAACTAAAAATAGAGCTCAAGGGAGCTAACACTAAAATATAAAGCAGTTATAATGAGAACTCACCAATTAAAATCAAAACAAGAAAAAAGCTCATCAAAAGAAAACCAGATTTTCATTTTGTGAAACACATTATGTTTAGAATTTCTGCATAAAATTCTGGTGCAGCACAACACAAACATATTAAGTTAGATCTCCATAATGATTTACCTAAGAGTAAGTCTCATTGATCTCAATAGGGCTTACTTTTGGGTAACATGTAACTGTAGTGTAGGATGAACAAAATGCAAATGTCTTGGAGTTCAACTCACAGAAGCCTCTGCCAGTATGGCCGTTGATCAGAAATTCTGCAAGTGAAATCCAAAACATCTGGACATCAGCTTTCTGCCCACCCCTGCAAGTTACAACTTTCTACTGCTATAAAATAAAAAGGGGCCAGAATTTAGTTGTATTCCGTCCCCCCATGGTAATTAGTCTATGAAACTGGGTTATTGCCTTATCAGTCACTGTTCAACTTGTTCTAGACAGTACATCAACTCTCCTGGAGAGAGGAGATGCTGTTTCATGATTACTTGAGGCACTTGTGGCTTCAGAAGTAAGGAATGCCTTTCATAACTTGATGTCACAGGTATGGCCACCCTGGGCCAAAGTCAACCAAGTGATCTGCACTCTAGTCAGCTCCTTGTAAACATACTGCATGCGGGGCTACCTTTGAACATGGCTCAGAAACTTGTTAAGTCAAAATAGAGCTCTCAGGCTTCTGTCTGAAGCTGCTCATGACCATTTTTGCCAACAGCTGCCCTGGCTTCTAGTCCATTTCTGAGTCTAATTAAAGTATTTGTTTTTATCTTTAAAACCCTAACGTCTTGGAGCCGGAGTATCTTTGTACAGAGCACTCTACATGCCATTTGTGCTTTTCATCATATCTTCCCTTCCCCACACGTATTACCAATGAATGTGAATGCAGTGGTAAAATGCTGCAAAAAGCAACTCTGATACATGTACGGTGGTACCTCGGCTCAAGAACGCCTCCGGTCATGACCAAATCGGGTCATGAACAGAAATTTCAGGAAAATGTTGCCTCAGGTTGCGAACTCCGTATCGGGTGACGACCACGATTGCGCCCGCCTTCCCTGCACGAGCGCCACTGCAATTGCGCAGTTGGGGTGGGGAGGTGGCCACAATCGTGCTGGGTGGGGGAAGATGACCACAATTGCGCCCGTGTTCCCTGCCCGAGCATGACCGCGATCACACCTGTGTATGGCTGTGATCGCAGGCACGATCGGGCAGGCAACACGGGCGCAATCGCGGTTGTGCTGGGGGGGTGAGGGGAGATGGCCATGATCTTTGTTGTTCTTTGTCACTTTACTTCAAATTTTTGTGATTAAAAAAAATGGTTACAGAACAGATTAGCCTTATTTACATTGAACCTGATGGGGAAACTTGACTTGGCTCATGACCAATTTGGGTCGTGACCAGGGTCGTGGAACAGATTGAGTTTGTGAGCCAAGGTACCACTGTATGTACAACTTCAGCAAGATTCTTTTTTATGTAGCATTTTTGCTAATATGCCCATCAGGATGAGTGCATTAATTAAAAGAGAAAAAAACCCTCTGTGAAAAAGAGAACAGTGATCCAGTCAAGATTTGTATCATAATTATTTGTCAGTGCTCACCAGCAATTGGAGCTGAACTATTTTCCTATTTTGGAATGAATTTAGGCATTCTAGTTAAACCACAATTCAGAAGGTTTGCACCCTAAGACAGAACAAAGCAAGTACAGTAACAAAAGGGGAAAAATCTTTCACCCTACGTAACACTTCTTCATTTTAAACACTTATATCCTTATTACTTTCCTATTTCTTGAGACTATTTCATTTACTATTCTAGATTGGTTTCAACAGTCACCCAGAAAGTATTTCTTGACAGCTGTTCCTATCAATATGATAAATAAGTGGATCCTGGAAAGAATTGTCCAGATCTGAGTGCTTCCAGACAAGATTGTTGCTGTGCCATCATTCAAGGAATTTTACAAGGGAGGTGGGTGGGATCAGATTATGTTTCCACTCACAGCCTTTCTGTAATTTTGAACAGCTCCTTCCATCATTTTTCTTACCTTGGAAAATCCTAGCAAAGACTGTAACTAAGCAGTGCTTTCTGATTGTTAGTATTCAGACTACCAATCCGAAAGCACACTTCTGCTTAAAGTACATTGTAACCCAAAATTGGGATTTAAATTAGGTCAAGTCTTATCAATCAAAAATTGGATGAATTGTTCAAACAGAATTTCAATTCCCTATGATTTCTTTTGGGGGGGGGGTGAAGGTGGTTTCAACTAAGTCACCCTACAACCACCATATATGAAATTTCACTTACTGTAAGCACTTGTCCCTTTCCAGGTTACTAAGGTAACGCTGTGCATCATTCATATAAAGTGAACGGTATCTGGTTTTCTTTGGGTATTTCTCATGCTTTGTGGTATCATAGCGGCCAACTCCAACTGGATTCTGTAAGTAGAAGAGTATTTATTACATTTCTATATGGCTCAATAGCTGAAGCTCTCCGGACAGCTCACAAAACAAAAGAAATAAAACAGTCAACAAATAGCTGCTGTGGATATTGTAAGAATGTTGATTAGCACCTTTGCAAATTCCTTTAAATGCCTTTTACTTGCAGAATCTGGAGTTGAGCTCACTTGGGAGAAATGCATGGACATTATGTCTCTGTTCTGCACGAGTTCCTTTTCCACACTTTAGACATGCACAATGCCATTGGTTGGGCTACCTGCATACCCTCTTGTTCCCTGACATGTCTGAAAGCCTTCAGGATCTGAGGAATGAAATTCTTCATGTTCAGCTGTGTGCGCTATATTGAAGGTAATGAAAATTACGTTCTTAATAAGAGTAGAGCAGGCATCCAGTCTCACTGATGTCTTCCTCCAATATAAAATACTTATTCCCTGATCCTAACAGTCTTTCCCCATATACTTAGATGACACTCCTAAGACAGAGTCTGGTGGAAGTTCATTGTTGTTGTTTTTGACTTACGGTGACCCTATGAATGAAGCCCTACAAAATGCCCTATGCATAACATTCCTGCTTAGCTGCTCTAGGTTCAAGGCTGTGGCTTCCTTGACGGAATGGATCCATCTCATAGCTGGTCTTCCTTTTCTTTTTCTGACTGTGACCTCCCCTATCACAACTGACTTCTCCAGTGAGTCTTGTCTTCTCGTGATACACCCAAAGTATGAAAGCCTCTGTTTTGTCATTTCTGCTTCCAGGGAAATTTCTAGCTTAAAGTGGAAATTGAGCAGGTTCAAGTAGGGCAGGGGTCTCAAACTCGCGGCCCGCGGGCCAATTGCCGGGAGGGGCGGGGCACGGGGGAGGGGCCCTGCGGCCTTCAAAGCACCGGCGGCACCTGGGCCGGCCGCGGGATGAGCGGCCCACCACCACCGCGGTGGTGGAATACTTGCTGCGGCCCAGCCTCACCCAGACTCTACTTCCAGCGGCCCCCAGGGAAGTTGAGTTTGAGACCCCTGAAGTAGTGTATTGTGTCACCAGTAGGCACCAAGACCAAGTCTCAGCATTTCATTAAAGCAGGAGGTATCATGTTCAGGTTTGGGCAGAAGATGCTGCCTTGTCCTGTTAGTTTTTTCTTGCATTAGCCTGTGCGACAAGATGCTGGAGTGCCGTCCCAGTCTGATGCAATAGGGCTATGTTACGATCCCATGATCAACTCCATGGGAGTGAGTTGCAGTGCTAGACAGGCATAACACTGTGTACACAGGAGTAAGCAATGCCCAAGGGTTTTGGAGGCCATACTGTCCCGCTGCTCCCTGCCACTGCCACCATACCATGCTACTGAATGTGTTGCTGTGGTGGGGAAAGAGATTTCTTTTCTGTTAAACAAGGCATGAGGGGAGCACAAGCTTTGGTTTCAAAAAGGGCACACTTTGTGGACCACGGGCTGCAGATTGCCAGCGCCAGGCTTAACGGAAGATTACTGTCTTCATAAACAGGGTGGGGAGACGGAAGCTGTTACGATAATGGTGTCTCACACTACACCTGCTTTGGTCATGTGCAAAGCACTAAGCCAGCACTTTTTAGCCAAACACATAGTTATCACTACCAGTGGGAGGCACTCTTCATTTCGTTCAGCATTGCTTGAATCCTACTGAATTCATCTAATGCTTATAACGGATCTCCACTGCTGGGGGAAAATCTCCTGTAAAATTCTCTGTAAGCCTGAAAAAGTAGGTGGCAAGCAAAGGCCACTGCTTGAAAGCCCAGTCTTGTGTGTCAGCGGCAAATGAAAGCATGAGCCTCGTGTGTCTTAGCAGCGCTTTTGCTCTGCATGCAAAATAAAAGGTCCGCGAATCTGTGTTTTTCTGGTGTGGGTACTGTGGACCAAAATGTAGGGGGTCCTGAAGGTTTACTGAGGCTTCTACCTCTCTTCCAAATTATGCCCTTTGCTGTTGGGGAATACCCTTAGCAGGGAGAGCCACTGCCCAGGCAGACTCCCTGAGATGGAGGCTAAATTCTAGCAACACAATAAAAGCGAACCCAATACAATTTTCTTTCATGGATACAGGAAGCTGCTGGATAGCACAGCTTGGGAAAACCATATTGCTTCTTGTGGGCAGAACCAGTCAGGGGAAAAAAACACACATAATAGGATCCCATGCATAAATATGATTGTGTTCCCAGCACTGGCTCTTACAGATGCTCAATAGTCTTTCCCTGAACCTGAGGAGGTAACAGCAAAGGCAATTGACAAGAGGAAACTCTGCCACCAAGAGTTTAATTGTACACAGTAGCCAAAGGCCTGCTGCCAAGTTGTCAACGGAAATTATATGATAGAAAAAGTACAGAGGTGAACCAGTAGCATAACTCCTAAGTGCCACTTAGGCCTCAGGGGTGGGGAATTACTGGTGGGGGCATGCGTGAGACTGCAAAGGGCAGCAGGTTTTTTGCCACTCTTGGTAAATAGTTTGTTAGCCAGTTAGTTCAACCCACCATGAAATTGCCTTCAGATGGCATGACAATCCATCACTGTCCCAAAGGGCCCCAGAAGAAGCCATGGGTTGTCAGGATGGCTTGTGCCCCCCTCCCCGCAACAATTTAGCCAACCTGCAGTAAGTGGCCCAGGTTCAGGCAGCACAGCCCACAATGGCTACGTGCCATGCTGCATGAGCCACGACATTTCAGCATCTCCTAGCAGTGGCTCTGAACTCTCAGGCAGAGCCGTTCCTTTTGTGATGGTGCAGGGTGGCCAAGCCAAGGCAGGGGCACAGGCACCAAGGCACAAAACCAGAGTCCAAACACAGTCTGAATTCCAGTAGTGAAAACAGAGACAAGAAACAGGCTGAAGTCAAGAACCAGGACAAGTATGTATCAAGAAAAAGACCAGAACAGCTTGGCACAGCAGAGAGCAGATGCAGCAGGATGCAAGGAACTGAACCACAGCTAGCAGGCTGCCCTGCTTTGCCAGGGCAGGGCAGGGCCGGGCCTGGATGCAGCGAAGATCAGGTAAATGCGGGTACTGGACCATACTACAGCTAGCAGGAAAACCTAAGCGGCTGAGACAGTTAATGGAGGGAAGCACTTGCTCTTATATAGTTCTTACTCCAGGTCTCCCAGCTGGTGCTCATCAGGAGGCCAGGAGCTCCAGCAGGGCCTGGGACAGATCTTGCAAGTATTGTGGTGGTGGTTCTGATCTCCAGACAGCACTCTAGCTGCCCAGATCCTAATATTTAATATTTAGTATATAGTGTTTTAAAACAATTTAAAACAGGTGAAATAACAGTAAAATACCAAGACCTGATAAAGGAACTAACATTTTAAAAAATGCTGTCAAACATCTGGAGTAGAAAAGAGTCTTGAATTGATGCTGAAAAGGTGATAGCATTGCTGCCAGGTGGATCACTCTGAAGAGGGCATTCCTCAATTGTCTGGGAAACATAGAAACAGAGCAAGTCAGAAGGGGCCTCCCGGGCCATCTAGTCTGACCCCTGGCTCCAGCCGGCTCTGCTCATGACATGTCCACCATGTGCATGTCCAGCCTATCTTTGAACACCCTCATGGATGGGGCCTCAGCCACCTCCAGTGGAAGCCCATTCCATACCCTCAGGGTCCTAACTGTCAGGAAGTACTTCCTGGAATACAAATTGAACCTTGGTTCCCTGAGCTTTACTCCATTGGAGCATGCCTTGCCCTCCACTGCAGGGGAGAACAGGTCTCTGTCCAGGTCTCTACCCTGTGCAGGGAATAACAGGTCTCTAACCACCTAGTACACCCCTGTTGAGTTGCTATCCTTCCAACCTCCCTTAGAAGAGGCACTGCAAGGAAGACCTCAGCTGCTGATCACAGTGTACAGATATGATCATATCAAAGGAGGTTCTCAGTCAGGTCTTAGGGAGAGCAGGCATCCTACCTGGCAATGTTGGGACTGAAGCTCGGGCCATTTGCAACACCAGTTTTGCTGCTGAGTGAACTTTGATACTCCCCTGATCATCAGTGTTATGGATCAGCCTTCTCTAACCCAGTGCCCTCCAGATGTTTCAGAATTCTGATGGTCAAGAATTCTGGGAGTCATAGTCCAGAACATCTGGAGAGTACCAGCTATAGCTGTGGCTGCTGTTACTGCAAGGGAAGGTTATGAGACAAAAGCATTCCTTTGAAAGGCAACCCCCCGCCCCCATGACAGTACAGCAGGGAGAGCACCTTTTAGCTATGTGAGAGCATCAGTGCTCTCAAGCCTGCTTCCTTGATTCCCAGACACATACAAGACTGCTCCTACAACTCTGGGCATGTGCACCCAGACCACTGGTGAGGCCTCTCTTTTTGGAATAGGCCAGTTTAGATCCACCGGCGGCCGGACCTGCAAAATCACTGCCTCTCCACTTGCAATGCAATTGCAAGCCATCCGCCCGCAAGTGCAGCTCTACCCAGATGATCAGTGGCACTTAATCAGCACCAGCCAGGTTCCCCATCAATTATGAAAGAGCCTTCATTCTTGACCTCTTTTAAGTTCCCGGCTCTCAAGCATCAAGGGAAAAAAACTGCTTGGGCGTCCTTTCCTATTTCCTGAGTGGAAGTGAACTCTTTCAAAGTGAAAGCTTTCCCTGACTGTTTGAGTCCTTCCAGCTTTGTTCCAGTTCACCACAGGAACCTGGAGATGATGAATACAGATGATACAAGAAAGAGCACAAGAAGGAGGAACAGTGCTGAATGGTCCCTTTGGCACTTACATTTCTAAAAGAGGTTTAGCCAATCCACAAAAGGAAATGTGACAGTCTATCAGGCTACTTAAAGGATTCCCTCAAGCTAACACAAAGCAAGGGTGGTTGAGCTTGTTGAAGAGAAAGAATTAACTACTAGAAAGCCTGATCAGGCACATCAGGAATGGGGGACCTGCAGTGCCTCCCCGCAAGACGTTGCTGGGCTCTCATGAATGTCTGCATCAGCCAGAATGGATAATGGTCTGGAAGGCAGGAGACGTAGGGGAACAATATCTCAGTGGGCCACAGGTTACCAACCTCAATATTCATGCTTGCTTGGAAATAAGTCCTACTTTCACGTAAGTGCACATAGAACTGTGCTCTCATTCTACAACATGAGGTAGGCAGCGTGCATTCCCTGCTCCCTGTGAATATGCTAGCTAGGCATGCTGGGATATGCTGTCCAACACATCTGGAAGGCACTTCCACTTGCAGCTTGGGGAAAGCTTTTCTGAGGTTAGGCAGTTGGCTGCTCCATAGAGGGTCTTTTCCCTGCTTCTGGGAGTCTTGGGATGTGTGTCTGACGCCTTAATGTTCAAAATGCCCAGGAAAATCTGGCCTGACCATTTGTACAACCCTTTTTACTGTTTCTTGTGGTTAACTCGGATTTACTGGATGCTTTTATTGTTTCATCTCCTGCTTTTATGGTTCGTCTACTGTATTTTTATTTTCCTCTTGTCATAGATGCCTTGAACCTAAATGTTGATAAGATGCCATAGAATTAAATAATTGCCCCTAACGCCATACCTAAGAGCAAACGCTATGCATGTTTAGAGAGAAACGGGAATTACGGGAGTTTTATTTGGCTAGGATTGCTCCTTAAAAGACCTTGTATAAGCGGCCTGCAGCGTGACATGAAAAGCATGAAAACTGGATCTCAATGATACAAAATCTTCTCTAGCATCTTTTAATGATTCTTGTACTCTTCCTCCCAAAAACTCTATCCTTACCCACCATCCTTTTTTCACAACAACCCTGTGAAATAGGTTACTCCTAAGAGGCAATCACTGACCAAAACTTTGCGGCCGTACAAGTTTTCATATTCAGATTTCCCCTTCCCAGCAAGTCACATACTATATCATATTGACTTTAGAGCCATAAACTAAACAGAAGGGAGCTTGATAGGTAGAAGGTAAGAAAAGTGATACTTTGTGCAGCAATTATCTGTTCCTATCGTATTGTAATCTACTTACTGCATTTCCAAAAAAGAGACGGTATGCTTTTCTGTCAAATCTTTTTGCACCAATCCAGAATGGTGGTTGATTTTCATATTCTGTTCTCTTAATATGCTTTATGTCATATGACCCTGGCCCTGCTTTGTACTGTAACGAACACATAAACAATGATTTTGAATTAGGAGCTTTAAACAATAATAACAGTGATAAATTAATCACTCTGTAGGGGCACCCAGATTTCAGAATTAGAATACCCTACTGGGGAAGATTGGACTGATCCATCACGAAGGGAGCAGGGGACAACACTTCATCTCAGGGCCCACTTATTTCCAATAAGAGTGAACTTCAAGTCTGCCAATGATAAGATAACATTTTCTACACAGTCATAGGCCTTCCTAAATATGCAGAAACTTGCACAGAAGTAAGTCCCATTGAGTTCTGACTCCCAGGTAAGTGGGTACAGGATTGCAGCTTTTGAATTTTTAAAGCACTAAAAGCAGGAGCAGCTCAGTAAGGGGTCTGTCAGTTTTCAGGATTTACAGAATGTTGGTGTATATGTGCAGAAGAGGTCAGCAAGTATCAGAGTAATTCACCCCCACTGTGTGGATATGAGACTTCCACATTCATACCGAGTGCCAAAAACAGGGATTACTGCCCCTTCTAGAGAGGTGAGGGTGCTCTCCAAACACAGCTACAATAATTTTCAGGATTTTTCTATTGTTTGCTGCAGGCAGTGTTCAATTTCACCTCAAGAAAAGAGAAACAGGATGTTCAAGGAACTCTAAACAGTGTGAGTCTAGAAATTATATCTATGGCTGAGAGCTATTGTGACATGGGCAGTTGGTGGGGGCAGAAAGAAAATGGAGGGCAGCAGAAGAGAAGGGATGGTTTAGCTGACACCCCTAACTGGTGCCTATAATAAGTATTTGGGGAGAAAGTGCAGGGTCGGGGAAGCTGACTGCCATGAGGTAGGAAACACCTCTCCCTGTACTGTACTAGTGCATTTCAAGAAGAAGAAGAGCTGGATATCACCCCCAGTGCAGTGGGGGGTGGGGGTGAGGCAGGATGGGAAAGAAATCCTAAATCTGCTGTTTGAGACACTCTTCGGCTACAGTGCAGAGGTACCTCACAGTGTTCACTGAGTTAAACTGCACAATGGTAAAGCAGATTTCAGATCAATGTGTTTTACTGCATTCACACTTTGCATTGCAGATGTATCTTCTCTCTCTCTCTCTCTCTCTCTCTCTCTCTCTCTCTCTCTCTCTCTGTCACACACACTTGCGTGCATGCACACACACGTGCACATATGCACATTTCACTGTATAATTATTTTTAAGGTCCTCTTTAGCTGTGCACCCTTCTTATATACCAGCATCACTCTGGACTGCTCATCCAGCCACAGTATTTTGGTTGAGAAACTGCAGACTCCCTTGTCCAGGGAATGGCAATGAAAGTGGCACTATGGCAAAGGAGACTTCTTTGGGCTGGCCTTTACTCTGTTTTAGGGTTGGTATCTAGAGGCCATGCTGCATGGTACCTACAGCCCGTTTGGTTCTTGCGCGCGCACTCTTCTTGTGCTACTTCCTAGCCCCCTCATTTCAGCCCAAGGAAATCAGTGCTGTGCTAGTAGTCAAGGAGCAGCAGAAAGTCACCTACTTGTTCACGTGGACACTGACCAACAGTGGCCCAGAAGATCCGTTCACTTGGGCAGCCAGGATTCCGTGCAAGGGTACTGAAAACGCCATGCCTCTTTTTCTCCTTTGTGTTCAGTTCTTCCAGGAAACTCTTTACATTGATGCTGCTCAGCTCAACAGATTTTTTCTAGCAATATTAAATAAGGGAACAAACTCTTTGGGAGGACAATGTGTCTCCAAATCTATGTGGATTCACTACTAATAGCTGCAACTCATCTTTTGGTTCCTTGCTCTGTCCTCAAGCAATATATTAGACATACACATGCCAAGGGTGGTGCTCAGTACCAGAAGGATGCGGGGCTCAGACCCATCCAGCAAAAAAAGCCCAGATTTGCATTTGCTAATGTACATATGCTTTAAGCCTCATAGATAGAATGGGCCACTCTGCAGTCTCTCTGTGCGTTTTTGTCTATGAATGATCCTATTTCCTAAGGACATCCTGGTTTGAAAAAGGTTATGTATGGGCAGAATAGAGGAGGGCTTTTGATTTCAGGAAAAAGCTCAAGCCAAAAGGTTCAGGATGAAGACACCAGAAATTGAACCACATGTGAGCAAAAAGTCAGCTAAGCTGGGAGATCCATACAAAAAATAATCAGGGTCGCTGGACCTTTATTTCAGCAAGGCCCATGGGCAGCAGGGTGGTGGGGCAGATGGCCTCCCAGAAATTTGGCGTTCCAAATGCAGGGCTTCAACCCAAGTGGATCACCCACATGTGCTCAAGCTCATTCATCAGAACTGGAATGAGATCAGTTCTTATTTCTTAGTTCAAGTACATTTTCTTCATACTATGTGTAGGGTTCATATAGGTGCCTCTTCTAATGTGACCTGAGATTGTTGGATCTAGACTGCTTCTGGATTAGTACTGCTGTGCTAATCAGGTGCCTTCTGCGAACAGAAGCACTAGTGTGGATCCAACCCATTGTAAGTGCTAAGGCATTAAGAGAGTGTTGGATACTCTAGAAATAGTCTGAACCTTTTCTAAAGTAGCTTCTCCTATTCTTTTACATAGAAATCAAATAAATAAACCAAGTTTATTGTTTACTGTAGCAGCAGTTAGCCATGAAATTTATAGTTGTCATTACAAGCAACTTAGGCTCTGTATTTCTACATCCTCTTTTTTGGGAGCTAAATTCACTGAGTGGCTGAAGTATTGTCAATCGATCTGAATCTGACCATCAACAGTGTATTGCCTGAATTACTACCAGCCCCGTGAACTTTGAAAAACTCTTGCAAGTTAAGAAGATGAGCATACTTACGTCAGTAGCGTAATGCCCACAAATAATAGGCTTGGACCTGTCTCCTGTGAAGATTTCATAGGGACCTCTTGTGCTGACCACTCGTTTGAGCATCTCGTCCACACTGTTTTTGTGATTGTAGGTCCCCGGGCCCAAACCACTTCCCTAAAAACGGCATCAAGGAGAGACACATTTTAAACTGTTGACCATCAAGCCTAGAAAAGACTGAGAAGCTCAGAAGCGAGGCCTCCATCCTCATGCACCTGATCCCCGAGGATGACTTCCATGTGGCAACTCATGGTGGGATGCTTCCCTTTTATGGGATTAGGAGTTACCAGAGAGGGAGACCATAGCAATAAGGACACTTAAGTGGAGAATTAAGAATCCAAGCTTGCCGTATGGGGAAAGGCAAAATATTTTGTTGTTTTGCTGTCCATTATTCCAAGCGCAGTCACAGAACGTTTTTCTTTTTCTTCAAGCAAGGCGTAAGGATTCCCGTAAGTTCCTGGGCCAGGGTAACATTCCTAGGAGGGAGTGGGGAAAGAACCAATGAGCGAGAGCATGACAAAAGATGGGACATTCAACACAGTAGCAGAACCCTGAACGTCTCTCAGCTAGTTTATTCTCTAGTCCCAATCACGGGCCCAGCTCTACCATCATCGTAATAGCATTGTACATGGCCTGCACTTTTTCCTCCTGTGAGGAACCCAAGCTGACTTACACAGCTCCGTTTTATCCTTTTCACAACAACTCTGTGAGGTAGGCAAGCCTGAGAATGAGTGATTGCACCCAGAGAGTTTTATGGCCAAGTGGGGGCCAGAATCCACATCTCCAAGTGCCCAGTCCAACACACTAACCACCACACCACCATTAGGCAGAGTAAAGTATCTACCTCAGACAGCAGGTTGTGGTCATTAAAAAGCCACAAATGGTTAAACTAAAGCAGCCAGGGACAGGCAGAGGTTCTTGTGGGATTTTCTGCCTCATGGGCCATAATACTGTATCAAGTTTTGGAGCATTATGAACCTTGATTTAGGGGCAACAGAGAGGTGTTTGCTGCCCTTCCCCAGACAGCAAAGTGTTTTGGGTTGTTGGATCTCCTGGAAAAGCTGTAAAGGTGAAAGGGCAGAAGAAGAGAGCTTCCTACAGATAGTGGCAGGTGCATTTGCTTGTTGAATGGTGAGGAAGACATCGGACCTATTCTTTGGTATCCTCCAGGACTTTATGTAGGTAAGCCTCAGACTGGCCATTTTGATGGATTCTGGCAGGGTGCCTGTGATAACAGAAGCATGCAGTGGGTGGAGGTTTTCCCAGCATACTGAGGGGAGAAATTCCTATGAGCATTGAGCAAAAAGCTGGGCACTTTCAGCATGGAAAGCAGATTAAGAGGCAACACAATAGCCATCCCCACACTGAAGAGCTATCATGCCATAGGTGGGCAAACTTGTTCTCGGTTGGTTCATGAGCAGGACCCAAGAGGGCACAAACTTCAGGGAAGCAGTTTTCACCAAAACATGAGGAGAAACCTTCTAACGGTAAGGCCTGCTCAACAGTGGAACAGACTGGCTCATGGTGGCCATTTGGCAGAGGCTGGGTCAGCTTTTTTGCTGTAGTCTCCTATAAGCAATGTAGAGCTTGCATTGAGCAAAGGGAGGAAGCTGGATTAGTTTATCTCCAAAGTTATTTCCAGTTATGCTTCTTTGTTAGGAAAAGCTGCAATTGCTGGACTTCTTGTTACACAGACACCTTTCTAGGAGAGATGTAGGGAGCTGACCGCCAGAGGAACTTGCTGTTTTCAGCCATGGGCACTTGAGCTGGTTCTTTTCCATAGTTTGCTTCCTGTCGTCTCCAGCAAGGGAAGCAGAAGAACTTAAGAGCACAAGAAAAGCCCAGCTGGATCAGACCAAATGTCCATCTAGTCCAACACTCTGTATTCAGGGTGGCAGACCAGTTGCCGCCGGGATCCCTCAAGTAAGATGGGTGCAAGGCCTCCTCCTGCCCAAGCTCTCAGCAACTGGTGTATGCAGGCATGTCACTGCCGGTAAAGGAGGTAGCACATAGCCAGCAAGGCTAGTCACCACTGATAGCCCCCTCCCTCATTAATCTGTCCAATCCCCTTTTAAAGCCATCCATATTGCTCTCCATCACCACTTCCCATGGCAGGGAATTCCACGGTTTAACAGTGAAGAAGCTGTGTGAAGAAGCACTTTTTAAACATGTCCTAAATCTCCCACCAATCAGCTTCAACAGCACAGACTGCTGCAGATAGAAAATGGGCTGTATATTCTCTTATTTCCTTCCAGAGTAAAAGGATGCTGGGAGAAAGCACCCCTCAAGTCCAGAGCTTCCAAGGATCATTCAGTCATCCAAGGACTTGTATCACTATGGCAACAGTGAGGGGGAAATCTGGCTTTCCGGAGCATATTAATATAGGACAGCCTTCCCCCAGCCTTCCCCTTGAGTTGTGTTGGACTACAGTTCCCATCATGGTTCGGAATCAGGGGACTGCAGTCCAAAGCATTCAGATGACACCAGGTTCAGAAACGATGAGCACACCTAGAAGTCGAAAGCAACTAAACGGCATGTAAAATAAGGGTCTGGAGCAATTCCTTTGCAAAGAAAGATTTCAATATCTGGGATAGTTTAGCTTTGAATGAAGGTGAATGAGCAGAGACATATCAGTTCTATCTAATAATATGTGTGGTCCCGTGGACGTAATTAGAGACATTTTTCCTTCTCTTTCATAGTACTAGAACTTGGAGTCCTCCCATGGAGCTCCCTGGTAGGAGATTTAGGTCAGATAAAAGTATTTCTTCACACAGCACATAGTTCACCTTCCCTGAAATGTAGTGATGGCCACCAGTTTGGATGACTTGGCAAAGGGAGCGCTCATAGAGGACAGGCCTGCCAAGGGTTACGAGTCCTCATAGCCATGCAATGCCTTCAGTATCAGAGGCACTACACACACTTAGGCGCACTGGGTGCTGGGCGGGTTTCCTGGGGGAACAGGCTGGCCCCTATGGGGACAGAATGCAGGACTGGGAAGACTTCGCTAAGATCCAGTGTGGCTGTTTGTGTTGAGTGCAACCTGAAAACATTCCCAGGCATTCTGGATATGAGTTCAGAATCAGCCTTATCATATAATTAAGTATATTGTAATGCAGGATAGTTTGGAGGTCTGGATAGCTTTCTAAGCCAACAGATTGACAGCAATAATATGTTGTTTTTCAGCTACTAATCCACTGTGAGTCACTCTTGTTTCATAAATGCTGAAGTCAAGCATATTTTTTGAGAATAGGGGACTACTAAACTGTCAGTTCCGTATTTCCACCTCCCAGATTCACAGAGAGTAAAGGACGTGCGTGTGCAGCTTTACATTAGCGTTGCTGGATTCGCAGCCCATTGCCATGCCAACTCTTCTTGTTCAACATCAAAACCCTCCCTTTCCTTTCCTGCAGTTCCGACTCAGTAGCCTTTCCCAGCTAAGATTTTACATGAAGAGTAGGAATTTTCCGATTTTTATCTCAGGATTGGGCAACCCATGGGCCTGAAGGCGGTATATGGCCCTCTGTCTTATTTCATAAAGGCTGGAGGGAGAGAAAGAGGGCGGGTGGGTGAAAAATGGGGGGGGTCCCACTTGCTGGGAAAGAAGAGGGAGAGAGAAGGGATGCAAAGTATTCCAGCCTCTCCCTCTGCCTGGACATAACGATGGTTCCGTGATACTGAACTCCCTGCTGCTTAACCCTATAATATACCACTTGAAGATGCAAAGATGCTTTCAGGGGCCAATTTTCTCAGCATGTCTGTAATCCCCCAAACTTGGAATTTATATGCATCCAGTGCAAAGTGCGGGGAGAGGCAGAAGTGATCTTCGCCTTGCTGTCTGCAGTTTCATTAGACATCCGGCTGCTGGGCATCACAGAGGAAGGACAGGAAGCTGGAGCAGCTTTAGGATACCTCGTATCCTAGTCATCCCAGTCTCTCCTCCTTCCTGTCCCCCAAGCACCTCCTCATTACTCCTATCCCAGGTCACTTTCCCAGCCCCAGAGATTCTCTGCATGCCTGTTGCAAGGGGGTACCACCATGCACCATGTTTTGGATGCATCGATTTTCTTCCCATCAGCTTTCTTCACTGTCCAGCTTTCTCACCCATAGATCGTTATTGGGAATACAATAGTTTGGATGATCTCCAGTTGATCTCCACTTGGTCATCGGTGAAAGAATTTATTTAACTGGCTGTAATAAAATATTGCCCCTATTAGGACAATTTGATGAACCATGTTCAGGTATTGTATCAATCTTGCTCAGGAAATACTATCTTTCACATAAGATCCCAAACTATTTTCCGTTGCATGTACGCACTATAAGGCTTTGCTTTGGATCTCACACTAGGCTGCTATAGTTTAATTATGGATGTCCTAAAAGGACCAATTTAACTGATCTGTGTTGTGAAGACCACCAGGCTGTCTAACTTCGCCATCCTGGTGTGCTCCAGATGTGCTGGACTACAACTCCTGTCATCTTGGACAGAAGAGACATTGGCCTGGAGTTGAGAACAGTTGTAGTCAATCACATCCAGGTTACTCCAGACTTTTTGTTCTTTTTAATGCTTTTAATTGTTCCAGCAAGGATAGACACCAAGACATACCCTGATATGATCTTTGAATCTCACTTCTCCAGTATCACATATTCCTCTAATACTGCATGGCCGTCTTTTTTGGAGTTCCAGAAAATCTGTGTGGTTGTAAGTTCCAGGGCCCAGTTTTTCTTTCTTGGAGAGAAAGAGAGCACATGAAAGTAGGGTTGACGGTTGACCTCCAGCCACAAGGGAGGATGAATAGATCACAAGTAGGGTTACCTAGTTAATTTCACCAACAGCAACATCTCAGATATATATGGAGTCCCAGCTTGAGCTGAAATAGGAGGAATACTGACATGGTTTGCCACTCCCCTCAGAATTCTCTGTTGTCTCTGAATGTAGCTGCAGTCCTTACAGTAGCTGGGAGGAATCACTGTTCTCAACAACAACATGCTGTTCCCTGCCGTAACACAAAGTATTTGGGGCATCCTTGTCTTGCATGGGATATTAAGCTTTGCAAAGCTTCCAAGTGAAGAGGAAGCCTGCTAGAAAAGTTTTGCTGATATCGATCAACATGCTAGGCTGACTCTGCCCTCTCCTTGAGGCATGGCTCTGGGACCTTTCAAGATGAATCCCTGCACTTCAAAAGTTATCACTGCACCACTGGACATACCAGCTCCTGTCCATCACTAAATTGGAGGCAAACTGACTCCCACTATTGGTCCTAAGAACTGCTGAGACATAGTAAAAAAGATTGAAGCCAAACACTCACCAGAGCCTTTTCTCTGTGGAAGATATCCTTAAAATTAAAATGCGGCATTTGGGTGAGTCTGGTTGCCTCTTGTGCCTTTGCCCAACTAGACGTTGACCTCCTTTTTTCCCAGTCTGTAGAACTGAACCCGCCATAGTCCGTTCTGTAGGTGCCTGGTCCTAATTTTCGATTCTAAAAGGAAACATACCATTAATTTGTACAGGGTTACTTGTTTCTGCTATTGTTTGTTCTTTTTGATTTTTGTTTTTTATGCAAAGCTACAATTCCTTCAAAACACAGCATAATCAGGTTCAGAGTCACCATTGGAAAAAGCAAGAGGATATCCAGTGTTCTCCACCAGGTTCCTTGCAGCTGTTTGCTGGACTACAACCTCTATGAGCCCCAGACAGCCTGGTCAATGATCAAGGATGATGGAGGTTGTTGTCCAAAACATCTGGAAGACACCAGATTGAAGAAGACCACTGTGGTCAAGCAAACAGCTTGCTCTGTTTCTCTTTAGAAGTGGTTGTTATCTGAAAGTGCCTTTGTATGTCTGAACTGCTTTATTTCATTAAAAATCCACATCGCCAAGGCGATGGGAGTCATCCCCTATCCCCATGGTGGGGAAGTCATGACCATGTCCATGTCTCACATCTTAAACCACGAACAATATATACCAGCAGGAGGAACAAAAGGCAGCTTTCCAATATAGAGTGGGGAAGCATAGCTGTGGGGATAGCAACAGGGGATCTCCACAATGTATACCCTATTCATTATTGAAAATGTGGGCTACGATGCTTGGTCCCTTGGAGGGTGTTCTTGCATTCCTAGGATAGTTTGGCTCCCCACAGGGGGGCATGAAGGCAGGTCCTTTTAGGAAGGGGATATCTGACCCCAGGTGCGTGTTCTCAGAGATTTTGTCCATCAGGCATTTATTGTATGCTTATCTCTCCTCACTCACCATTGTTTACAGGCTCTTTAGACAAGATTGTGACTCTCCAGTTTCACTTCTTTTTTAATGAGTTCTTTCTTGGGGGGTGGTTACAGTAGGGAAAATGGAGTGCTATTCATAAAAGTGATAGCATACTGATTTTCCTACTTCTGTAGTTGCATTATTCAACAACTACTGAAAGGCAGGAAAGGAAAAGCTTTTTGTGTAGCGAGCTTAGACCTCAATTCTGTGACAAACCTAAAGTAGATGTGGTAGATTAATAGTTTTTCATATAGAAAAGCTCTCAGCCTTTGTGGAAATATCTTGTCCCTTAGCAGGAGCTCCAATTCCATAGAGGCAAAAGAATCAGCAGTTTCCAAAACTCAGTCCCCTCAACACAGGGGTTGTATACCAGCTGTGTATCTGGCACACATAATTTTCGTTGAAGGGGAACTATAAAACAAGAGAAGAGGGCAAATGCCATTCTTCCTCTACTATGACTGCATAAGCCCACGAAGGTTGTAGATATTTTGGAGCTTCCAACTTTAGAGCTTCCCCTACTCTCCTTCCCAATAGGACTGTTCTGCCCTTATACACTTCTTACTACTTTTAACTTAGCCTAATATCATCAAATCCCTCTCTTATTTTGCAGAAGCTGAAGAGAGAATGTGCTTCCCAAAAGCTCACTTGTATTTTTGAGACTTGAGCATATATTTAAAGATTCTGTACATTTTATACAGATGCCTTCCACCTCTTATCCAAGGAGAAGAAAGATTCCACTCTTTCCATTGGGAAACATAGGTGGTGGGTGATGCCACAAAAGGAATGAGTGAACAAGAGGAAGGGATGAGCATGTTGTGGGGTACTGGAAGGATCACCAAGCAACTTTTGAAAGCAAACCCAAAGGGAAAACTCAAAAGATGTTCAATGTGACCTGAGAAGGCTCAGAAGCCACAAACTCTTGAAGGTCAGTTGGAAAAGGAATACAGACACCAGGAGGCAGGTGGAATGGAGTCCTGGAGAAGACATGACAGACTAGCTGGCTGGAACCTTAAATGGGAACACTTATCAGAATGTGAAGAATACATTGCACCATTTTTCACATAGAAAAGCCAAGCTGCAGTGCAGGGATGGGAAACTTGTGGCTTACAGCATCATTCACTGTTAGCTATGCTGGATACGGCTGATGGCCACAGGTTGCCCACTCCTGCCTGCAACCAAGGATGAAAGCCTCTGTAGGCTATGGCTCTGTGAATGGGTTCACACATATGAAATGCAAGGCAGCTAGTCTATAGGTGGAAGGGTTGTAGCTCAGGGGCAAAGCATCTGCTTCGCATACAGAAGGTCCCTGCTTCAAATCCCAACTTTTCCCTACTGGGAAAACTCCTGCCTGAGACCCTGTCTGCCCCACTGGCCCTGTAATGCGGGTCTAGAGGGACCCATGTTCTGCTCTAATATAAGGCAGCTTCCGAAGTTCTTAACTGGCCACACAAGCAAGCTACTAAATAAACCACGTGACATCACAATCGAGAACTATAAGAGACTGACCATCTTGGGAAATTGCCAGTATGGGGGCGGGGGTGTTCTTGGTGGCTAATACCATACACAGAACATGTTTTATTGCATGCACTCTTTCTAATTCAAGCAGATTATAGTAAATCCAAGGAATCCTTCCACTTTGGGCATATAGGATGCACTGAACTCACCAAGTCTGAACAGATGACCTTGGAGTATGGAGCCTGCAGAAAGGTATTGGGCTTCTTGACATCTGGATAAACTGCTGACACGTCAAATCTAGACAGAGGAATATACAGAGAGCTGAAGGATGGCTTCTGTTGCCATGTGAACAAATGTTATTTAGTACCAGCACTTGCAAAAACAAGTGTTGATGCTTTAGGCATGAGACAAGACTAGGTGTGGTAAACTGGGGAAGCAGGATACAAGCTCACTTAGGCTTCTTGTTTGGTATGAATACAGTATTGTTTCACAAACTAGAGGAAGGGCAGGCAGCTTGTGGGCCTACAGAAGCGTGGACCTACAATTCCCATCAGCATAGCCAACGGTGAAGGATGATGAATGTTGCAGGCCGACCAAATTGCCGACCCCTGCTGCTTCCAGATGTCATTGGAGCCCACCCCCAGTAGGTCAGTGCAGCGGGGCAACTGGAGCTGTGGTCCATGGGGAGGGCACAGTCAGGGGTGGCTGCATGGGGGACTGGCAAAGACTAAGCTCTGGTGGATCCTAGAGCCTTCCCTGAATGACAGGAGCTTTCCAATCACAGGATGGCCCAACTGGACCCAATTCTCTATTTCTTGATTACAGTGTGATATAAGCAGGAGAAAAATGAGGTTCTTAGGAAACGGGAGAAAGTAGAAGGACACAGGCCAAACAAACACAGTGCTTTTACTACAAGAATGAACAGTTTCACTTAGTATGCATAGTATGAGGAATAGATAGCAAACCATGTATAGATTGACAGGCACATACTTGATTGCCTGCATATTGATTTTTTGTTTGTTTGTTTGTTTTGCTTTTTCTGTGAGGGGGAAAGAGAGGGAGAGGCCTGTATTTGTCTGAATTTCTTTATGTGTCAATCCACATGATCCCTCCAAATTTCAAATCCATGGTGATTGATTTGTGTGGATTTAACAAGAACACAAGTATGGGAAACACAGCAACTTCTTTTCTAAAGTACAAAGTGCTTGCAGTTTTCCTGGCTGCCTGGGAAAAGCAGGCTCCGCGCACCGTGAGAATCTATAAATCATTGATTTTTTTAACCAATTGAATCCTGCTGAAATTGCCTTTACCTGGCTGTTTGGCTCCAAAACGGGGCTCCGCTGAAGCCCTTTGGTTCCATCCTCCATCCTCTGGTGCCTGGAGCAGAAGAAACAGAACTGCACTCCTCATTGGAGACTGCAGTGGAGAATAGATCTGGAATTTCACTGCTATGACAACATTAGACGCTCAAGCTTCTGTTTCCATGTGCCCGGCAGGGGCAGGTCTTCTGGGAAGGTTGCCATATGCTCACAAGGGCTTGTCAATGCTGCAGGCACCTGTTGTGGCACACTGTCAGATCCTGGATGGAAGGAAAAGGACATTGCTAGGGATTAGGAAATTCCTTCATCCTAAGGGCCTAATTCATTTAGGAGAAGCTCCTGGGAAACACATTATAACAGTGGCTAGGACCAGAGGCAAAAGGGGTGTGACCCCCCCCCCAAAAAAAGAACTTTGTAGTGTAAAGCTCTTGCTGCCAGAAACAAAGCTGTAAGAGAATGCAGGAAAAACAGCACTGAAGGTGGGAAACTGCCAAACAATGGAAGAAAAGAGAGTAGCATGAGGGAAAGGGAACAGAGAGGGTCTTTGGAGGAACTCCGGATGGCTGGAATGGGGTTTCCGGAAAGGCTGGATTGGCTCTTGGATCCAAGGTTCCCCACTGCTGCACCGGTCCCTAGAAGCAACAGGTAAAAAATTTGTTTGGTTCCTTTTTTCTAAGAACACAGCCAACTCTGCAAGTTTCACCATCAAGGCAGCAGAAATAACTTCTGCATAGCATTAGCTGAATGTGGAAGAAGCAGTGCTGACCTATTTGTCCCACCAGGTTTGACTGCCGAGATCTGGAAAGTCAGTGTTTGAATGGCCAGGCATTAATGATGCTGAACTGTTGCTGCCTGCTCTTTTTCTGACGGCCTCTTAATCTTCAATAGCTCTGCAGCAGGCAGGCGCACACTCCATGCTGGGAACGGTTTTACTGTCTGAATTTGGCCAGTGCTGTTGAGTGTTCATTTTGTTTGGTTTGTTTTTTGATAAGGATTTATCACATTTCTTCATAAACAGTGCAGAGAACTTGTGACTTTAAAAATCTGAAGGCAGGATAAAGCAAAACTCTCAGGTTGCTCCATCCCATCCCTCATCTGCTTTTCGGGTTGTCATCACATTTCACAACTGAGGCCTTTACAGCCCACATAAGAGGATCAGGTGTGCAGGCTGCTGCCCTTCCAGCACTCCAAGGCAGGCGCAGGCAATGTGGTTCCCATGGAGACTAGTGTGCCCACTCCCCAGACAACACTTCAGAAGTTGCCAACCCTTACCGTCCCACTTAAGAAGAATAAATGCATGTTCTTAGTAGCAGATGGAACTGCTATGGAATATGCCTGCTGCAAACTGTGGGTTCCAAGGAGTTGTTTAGCATGTTGCGGCTCAGATCTCATCTCTGAGTTTTGGGAAGTTTGCTTACTCCATGGCAGTCTTTTTGAAGTGATTCCCAAGGCAATTTCTCAGATTGCCAAATATGCTGACAGGCTGCTGCAAAAGTGATCAAACCCTGCTCTAAAGTGTCCATTTTTGCAATACTTGTATTAATGTACATATGCAAGAATAACAGTCTTGTGCACCTTAAAGAGTAATGGATGTATTATGGCTTAGATTAGACTCTAATCCATGGATTAGAATGCAAGCATTATCCTAAATGTTGCCAGTATGTCTCTTTGGATGTGTGCACACACATACCCAGTTGTTAGTCTTCAAGATATCTCAAACTCTGGATTCCCCCTGAGAATTCTTGATGCACGTGTCTTAATGTTCATTGTGAAAGTCATGCAATGTTCACATTCTTCTAGAATGTTGAAATTGTACCTAAAATCTCAAGCCAATCACTATATATTGTGTACATTTGCTCCAGGCTATTTATTTGGGAAGGCCCCTAAACAGTGTAAAAGTAGATTTAACATTCATACACTTTAAAACAGGCTTATTCACAGAATAGTTGGATCAGAAGGGGCCAAGAAGGCCATTGAATCCAACCCCCTGCTAGTGCAGGATCCCAATTACACCATCCTGATCAAGATATTCAAGGGATATCCATGCACTGGGTGGCATTCCAAGTCATGCTGGCCTGCAGCTTATTGGCCAAAAAGGATCGCTTCAACAGGCCTGGGCTGCCTCTGCCTTGTGTGATTCACTGGGCCAATGATAGCCTTGAAGCAGCAGGTTGGCTGTGGAATGACAAGTGCTTTTCTCCGCTCCTCCCTTTTCAGACACCGCGTGAATTGGCAAAACCAGAAATGCAAGTAAAGAAAGAGGTGGAGGATATAGAAAGGCAAACAAAGTCAGAGGGCAAAGAGGGAAAAATAAACAGGAAAGCAACAACCGGGAAAGCGGCTTTTTGAGGAATCCTGAAATCGAAGACTGTCTTTCCCGTGGGGACATGGAAGAAACAGAAGTAGACATTGATACCCTTATCGACCAGATGGATTATATTCCTGGTCACTTTCACCTAGATATGAACATGAACTTTGAGTCCTCCACTGCAATGATTTTCCAGGGGAGAGATTTGAAGCTGAAACGAGAGAGCCTGAACTATGAATTAGAGTTTGAAACTGGCTCACAGCAAAATGCCGTCCGAAACCTCCTCGGCGTCTTTTCCTTTCACCTGGAAGAAGTGGAGCAAGCCAAGGAGATCTTCCTTCACATTTCTCTGGAGGACCCTGAAAATCTGAATGCCTGGGCCAACCTGGCTTTTGTTTATGACAAGCTGGCTGATGAGCAGGAAGTGGCTAAGTGCACCAAAAGCCTCTCTCGCTTAATGGGCTTGGATTTGGAAGAGCCCCTGCAAGGAGATCCCCAACTCAGGGCGGCCCGTTGCTTGGCTGAGCAGGGCTATGCTTACGCCTTTGATGTGGGGCTGGTGAACGAAGAGGAGAAGATGGAGAAGCTGACTGCAGGCCTCACGCTCTACAGTAAGGCTCTGGCTTATGGGAAGCAGGTAGGTAATCCTACCTTTTGAGGTTACTTGCTGTTCAAAGGGGAGTACTATCAGGGCCAGGATGTGACTATAAACCTGTTTCTAGCAGTGATGTCTTATTGTTACTCTAGAGTAAGTTCAGGGGACCTGATCCAGATTGGGGCTCTAGGATGATGGGGTAGAGGGGCTTTTAAAATATGGCTTGAGGACCCTGCATCAGGGTGAAAACAAAATGGCTGTTGAATGCTCAGATAAAACAGTCCTTCCAGCCAGCTGTCCTCCAGGTGTTTTGGGCCTCAGTTCTCCCCAGTTCCAGCTAGCAGTGGCCAATGGTCAGGAATGCTGGGAATTGTAGTCCAAAGTATCAGGTTGGGAAAGCCTGATCTTAGAGAGGCAGAATAGACTGAAGACTAGACGGATACATACATGCACCTTCCTTCCCATTTTCTGCTTCAGGAGCTGCACTATACCTACCTTCTCCCTGGAAATGTTGCAGAAACCTGGGTGCAAAGTTTCATTTTAAGTCAGTGTGGTTCTTCTGTAAGGCAGCTTGGAGGAAAGGGGAAGGAAGAGGCGGGAGCAGCAGCAGAACAGCGAAGAGCAGGAGCAAGCCTGCAAGCATTCTGGCACAGGCTGCTAAGCCCTTCTCCTCCTAGATGTTTGGGTAGCAGGATGAAGTTTCTGTCTGCCATCCAGCGTGATGAAGGACCTCTGGTGCTCAGATAACGGGTCTGTGTCTGGCAGAATTGGTCTGCCAGCAGGAGGAAACTACTGGAGAAAAAGATGCCACATAATCCCAACTGCACCCCCTTTTGGCCCCTCCCGAAGCTAGTCGTGAGGTTTGGGGGACCGTCCAGAGGGGACCTGGAGATCACGCAGGAGAGCACAGGCGGTAGTCCTGTTGTACAAATGAAAGTCCCATTGTGTGGCTTTGGCTCCAAGCCAATGCACATGCATCTCTATCACTAATCCGCTTAGCTGCCTCTGCCTCCCTTTCTCCTTCTAGAGCAAGGGGCAGGTCGTACTGGGCACCCAAAGCCCTCAGGGAACTGAGACAAGCTTTTCCCATTAAGAGCCACACCTTCAGTCAAAACACCCATTGGTGCCCACCATGCATCTAGTCCTCCACCAGGTTGAAATTTTTTAGGTTGAAATTTTTTATAGTCCTCCACCAGGGGCATGAGAAAAATGTGCAAAGTAAGGCAACAGCATTCAAGTGAAAGTGGATCCTATTTAGAAAATAGTTTTGGGACAGGGATCTTAGAATCTTCTGATCTGCCCTGTGAGGCATGTCTGTCCTGCTTCTTCAGTGCCCCAATCAGTAACATCCAGAGTGAGGTTCTCTACCGTTTGGAGCCCCTGGGCACATTTGGGCCTCTGAGAAACTACTGCATGTGCCATCACAAAATGCCTCCCATGGAGGATGTGCCTACCCACAGGGGTTGGCTAGGAAAGAAGAGAGTGGAGGAATAGCAAGGCCAGAGGCTGGAGAGAGAGGGAACAGAAAGATTTGCCTCCTGGTCCATCCAGTCTTTTTCTGTCCAGCAGGTCTTTGCATGCCCAGTCGCTCTCCACTCCTAACCCCTGCCTTACTCTTTCTTCCCGAGTCATCCTGCCATTGCTCTGAACATCCTGTCTCTATCTAGCCACACAATTTCTCTCCCTTCCTATTTATTATTACACATTCAATGAATATTCCACCTCAATAGTCCTGCAGGAGTCTCTGAGTGGTTCTGAGTCACATTCCTAGCCACTAGCTTCACCCTTTCACTTCCTTCCACCCTCTGCTGTGCCCTCACTTCCAGTCCACTGATCAGCTGCATGTTCAGGAATGGGAAGGACAACCTGGCATGCTTTTTTCTTTTTCTTTTTCAATTAAAATTGTATTTTGAAAGAGGCAGGAGTGAAGCTTGTGCAGACCTTCGGACTCCATGAGCACCACATTGGGGACCCACTGTAAAAAAAAGTCCGGAACTCAGTATCTTGCAAGCTCCATGTGGTTCTTCTGCCCTTATTTTTCAATGCCTGGCCAATTATTGCAGGCATTGACTTTCAAGCTTGCAGAGAGCTGTGGTTAAGCACTTTAATATTGTTTTAAATTAGCTACATCTGTTTCTACTGCTGTTTACTTTCACTATTGTTGCTTATCTAATTTCTGTTTTTAGTGCTCAGTGTAACACTGGACACCACAAACCTCAGGCATTTTCTGAGAAAAATCTCCTCTGAAAAGCTTTGGCCCAGACACTGCAACGCCTCAGAAAACCATTTATGGCCTAGTCTAGTGACGTATACATATGCCATCCTATAGTCATTTAAGCCACTTCAGAGATGGCTTGTCTGATACACAATAGAAGGTGTTTTCAGAATAGGAGGATAATTAATTAATTAAACAATTATCTTCTGCCCTTCCACCAGCTGTTGGCTAGAAATGCAGGAGACTGATGCAGGGCGGTTCCATTCACAAAGCATGTGCTCTTCCACCACTAAGCTCTGGCTCCTCCTTCAGCAGCCCATCACATTAAAGGATCCAGTGCTTTAAATTGCTACCTGGCCCAAGCCTTCTGCCAAGTGAGGGTTTAAAGCCAAACGAGTAAGTTAAAAGGATTGAGTGGATAGATGAAATGTTGCCCTATTGAAAGCTGATCTTTTGAGGTGCCACACGTGTGGCGTTAACAAAGATCCCATTGTGACCCAACGGTGGTGGAATTCATATCTTTCATTTTTAGAGCACTGAAACCTTTCAGTACAGCAATAGCAAATGTCCCCAACCAAGCCCTGAATAACTCAAATACCAAGCCTCAAGTACCCATCCCTAATAGTTTTCGGTTTACTGATTAGCTGGAGGGTTTAATTATTATTATTCTGATCCCCTTAGCTCAAGCTGTCTAAACAAAGGTGCAACTTTCTGAATGCTGACTTTATAGCTGCCTGCATCAACAGACCACACAAAAAGCCAGGTGGATGGACTGGTACAAAGTTTGCGATAAGTAAAATGTTTGCCTTCAGGGGCTGGGCTATATTTATCTATAACTAAACTGTGAAGTCTCCAGATTTCTTCAGACTTGAAAGAGAATGGGGGTAGGGGTGGGAAAGGCATCAACATACCCATACCAAGAAACCTTTTTGAAAATAATAATTACCACTTTGAACTGCATAAAAATGTTGCTTGTCAACCTATTTAACTCAGAGCTTTTCGTAGGGAGGACACATTTTCTAGCTGGCTGCCATGCCCAATTCTTTGACTGACCCCAATTAAGAAATCTTAGGACACAACCTTGTGGAGGTTTGGACAGAAAAATGGGTTGGAACTCCCAGCTGGGACATGGCTGAGGAATGATGGGAATTGCAGGCCCTTTTTTGTCTGATGTTGTTGCATAGGATTGAAGCTTTAGTAATTTAATCATACAATTTGTAGTCAATTAAACTATTTGTTAAATATACATTCATTTTATCATATATCCACATAATGAAGAAAAAGAATGTTTTCTGGATCAGACTGCTCAGGTGTAAGTCCCACAATGTTTTTGTCAATAATTGTGTCTAATATGATGCATTTTGTACTTCATAATGGATATGCAAAAATGTGTATGTATTTTATAGCATTTTATTGGTGAATTGTATTCCAAAATTTTGAAAAGCACAAATGCAAAGAATAACCATGTTTCAGGTTGCGTAATGATTCAATAAGAATAAATTCCTATATGCAAGCACACTATTCAACATGCTGCCGATCAGCCAGCTTCATCTGATGTGAGAAAATAACTTCTGAAATTATGAGTTGTGTAATATTCAGCTACAAGAAAGAGACAGACTCCAGTTAAGTTGCAGCAAAAGCCAGAGTAATCAGCAATTAATGTAGCTTTACTGTAAAAAAGAATGCTTCAGACCTGTCTCAGTTTTTATTTTACTCGTTTTTAAATTATAGTTTTGGTTCTGACTTTATTTATTTTTTATTTGAATTGTGTAGTCTAACTGTATTTCTTTTATTTTATGCATTTTATGTAAGCATTTTGGTGTACAGTTATAGAAGAACAGAGTTTGACTTCACTGCACATGAAGTGGTTTTAGGACTGAGCTTATATCTAAGTTTTCTTGGTACAAATGCAGTGTTCTTCAAATATTACATAACTGTGCACATAAACACAGGGCTAAGCTGCTGGAATCCTTGATTCCATGGAACTTTTGTATCAAGAATGGTATTTGTAGGAAAGCAATTGCTGATTTTCTACTCACCTGGCTTTCTGTTTCAGATCCCACTGGAGGAGAGAAGAAGCTGGTACTTTTCTATGGCCACACTGCATATCAGGTGAGACAGGAATGTAGCCAGTGCGATGAAGTGGTTGGAGTGCTGGACTGGGACTTAGGAAATCCATGCTCTGGTCCCCACTTGGCCATGAAGCTCACTGCATGACTTTGGGCCAGTCACGGACTCTCAGCTTAAGCTATCTCACAAACTGGTTGTGAGGATAAAATGTAGAGGAGGATTATGTAGGTCACCTTGGTTTCCTTTTAGAAAAAAGGGTGGAATATAAATATAATAAATTATTATTGTGAGTAACAACAACAACAACAACTTTTTATTTAAGCATCATTTTAATTGTTAATATTATTTGCTTATTTTATCTTCCCAGGGCGACTTATTTTATATTGTTATTTCTTGTATTTTAATTTTATGTTGTGAGCCGCCCCGAGGCTTCGGTGAATGGGGTGGCATAGAAATGTTTTAATAAATAAATAATAAATAAATATTATTATTATTATTATTATTAATTAAAAACAGAGGGAAAACCATGGTCCGTAACTCCTTGCAGTGGAGTTAAAATGGCAGATTTGCAGCATAGAGTCCCCCTTGGGCTAGTCCAGTGCTCTAGCCCCACATTGCAGCTGTATAAATGTACAAGAGCTTCTAGAATGTCTAAGTCCAAGCTATATAAACGTGATGATAAAAAATAACTTTCAGATGCGCCAGTTAACAACCAAGAGAAGGTGCTGCATGAAAATCCCTAGCTATGGGCATCTCCTTCCCAAGGTTAATACTAGGCATAGGAGAGTGGCTGTTTGATCAGGAGCTTAACGTGGGAAAGAAAGCGTTGGACCTCTCCTCCTGCACGCTCTGATCTTACCAAAAACCACACACACCTGCTGTTAATTATCTTTTGCACAGACATGATTGCCAGTGTCCCATCCAGTTTGGATCTCAGATGCAAGAATTAAAATTCTCATAGACATACTCAGGTAATGAGAAACTGATGAATTCAAGTATTAAGTAAAGACTTGCTTCAGTCTGGTTTACCACTATCAGATGTACCACTATCTAATATCAGAGTAAAAAAATAGATGCTTAGCTGTAGGAGCAAAAAACAACACAAGACTGGTGGTATCTTAGCATTTAAGTTGCTATCGACCAGTTTGAGTAATTTAACTATACATCAACCACAGGACATAGGCAATTACTGATTTGGAATGGGCAAAATTATTGTAGAAGTTAACAGTTCTTACCACCTCCCACTATATTTCAGGATAGCTGTACCATATATATATTGTACTGATTGGCAGCCTGCTCTACAGAGCGCTTATGAACCAATCATCTATGGGTCAAAGGCAGGTACAGAAATCCTTTTTATCCTTTGGCTTTCCCAGCTATTTTATTTACTTATTATTTGATTTCTGTACTGCCCAAAGCTGAAGTTCTGAGCGATTTAGAACAATCCATTCAAACACCATCTAAAATGCACCACCACAATATATAAAAAACATTTTTAAATTACCATACAAAAAACTTAAACCACATTTAAATATAAAATTTTGATTAAATCTGATTGACCTGGATTAAAAACTAGCAAAGCTCCAACTGATTAAATGCCCTGAAGTAGAGGAAAGTCTTGACCTGGTACCAAAAAGATAGTAAAGTTGGCACTAGGTGGCTCTCATAATGGAGAAGCACCACTGAAAAGACTCTTCTTGTCACCACCAACCAAACCTCCCTAAGAGCTAACAATCAGAGGCAGGTCCCAGAGGTTGATTGTAGTGTCCAGGTAGTTGGGCCTTTCCTTCCATAAAGGACTGTTGCAAAATCAGAAACATTATGAATTGCTTAGTAATAGTAGTGGTAGTAGTAATAATAGTAATAATAATTGTATACTGCCCAAGTGGTGAATGCTCCTGATTTGTACACTGCCCAGCTGGCGATTAATTTGTGGTTTACAAATTATGGATCTCAGGATCCCAAACTAAAGGACAGGCTCAAAAACATCTTTCAAAATGGTATCACAGCTTAAAAAGAAACACTTGATCAATTGAACATACATACACATGCACACTGTTTAAGGTAAAGGTGATAGAACTCCTGCGCAGGACATCTAATCTGTTGTATTGTGACTCAGACAATGTATCATCAGCACAGAGGATCAGTTGGCAGCTCTGAGAACAGTGCTTTGGAAGCAGAGCCCTGTCATGAATCAGCAACGTCCAGGAGTTTGTCCACTGGGCCTTTCCACTTGTTGTCTCAAAGCGGACTGAAAGAGAGGGTCCCTTGGGCCAACTGTATGATTGAAGCCCTGATGAAAGATTTTGTTGCTGGAGATTCCAGGGAAAGAATCACACAAATCTAAAGCACTGTTCCAAATCCTTTCCTCTGCTCCTTTCCCCACCTTCTTCAGCCACTCCTCAGTGGAGCTCTGCTGGAAGAAACGTAGTTGGAGAAGGAGGTTTTGGGGAGAAGCACAGGTAGGGAAAAAGGGTCCACAGACTCTCTGATAGCTTCACGTAATAACTAAAGGAAACATATGCTTCAGTTTGATTTACCAGTCTGAATCTGTTGCAACCTGTGATCTTTTTATGTAGGACAAGTAGGTTTTTAAAAGCATTAATAACACCAATGTGTTATTAATCATCCAAAGTGTTCATGTATCAGTACAGGCAGTAGCGGTAAAAACACAGACAACAGCCAATGATAGAATGATGGATTTTTCTACAAGAGGCATTTCATGTGTACTTGTGATCCCTCAGAATGCAAATAACTTCTAACTTTCTCAGTTTCACAGCAGACCCAATCAGTCAGTTTCACCATTCTGCTTTAAAAAAAACCTGCCAGTATTTCCCTGTTTGCTATTTAGCTCTGGAACTAGAAATGCATGGCAAGCACTACAGAAAGAGGACAAATAGGTGGGGCTATGTGAAAGAAAGGAACAGATCGTACAATTCGATGCCTGTTCATATCAAACAGTGAATAATCATAGCAGTGCCCATCTTTGTTTCAGATTGGATGGGATGTGGATGAGCAAGGGTAACGACGAGGAAAAAAGGCTGTTGGCCTTCAACAGAACACTGGCGTTGCTCCAGCAAGTCCTGAAGTCCTCTAATCTGCATCACAAAGGTAAAAGGAATCACCCGTGCAGGTGCAGTGCGTGCATCCTATACCCTACAAAATGTCTGCGATCCAGCCGTGCATAGGCAGTCTATGTGTGCAAGTTCATGGCTCAGATTCAGAAAGACTATTTGTACACGCTCATTGCAGCTTTGGTTGCAGCAGCTCCCACACACACCCAACCAGGCGGGCTGCTCTTCAGGTTTAAATGTGGCTTGTTTCGCCCACCTGTGGGAGGAAGGGATCATAACAGTCAACTTAAGATGTATAATCTTCCCTTACATAGGCATAGAAATCTCCCTGGGATCTTGTCCACTATACCTCTCTAATTATCGTAAATTTTCTTCTGCCGTTCCTTCTGTTTAGCCTTGGCCTGGTGCTATCTTGGGATCTTACTAGAGAGGAAAGAATCATTCTCAGTGACTCCCATGGGTATTCATGACTGTGGTTACTCTTGGACTGATCCCCTCGACTGCTTTGGAAAGGTACAAGTGGATATAAATCTACCAAACAAATACATTGCTACTGAAATGTGGAAGGAGGGACCATTATTCAGTTTGTCGGGTGTTCCAAGATGCCTTCCTTTATCCAGATTGCTTAGGCTGTTGGGCAATATAGAATTATTGTTGTTGTTATTGTTATTTCAATTCTTGCAAATGCTTTGGGTCAAGACCTAAATATTACACTAAAGACTTGGCTAACAGCTACATCTCCACCAATTTTAACAGTTTGGGGGGTTCTGAATTTTATTGCCTCTTCTCCACCAGCATTATCAGCAACAAGGCACATGGGCAGTGCTGTGGAGCTTAGAAACACAGTGTCTACCCTCACAAAAGGCTATCTTCTTAAATGGAAGCTTGGCATGTTGTGAATTCTAAAATGAGCTTGGAGAATAGAAAAGGGGGCATGCATGTTGAAGGCTACAGTGAGGGATGGCTTTATTTCAATTTCTCTTGTATATACAAGTAGGAGAAGCACACTTCTTCATGCAGGTGATGCAGTTTAAAAGGGCATTTGCTATGCACAATTTTAAACACAAATAATGTTCCTAGAGGCTAAAACTTTGACCTAAATCTGGATAGCTCCACATAGTCATTCTTACCTATAAAGAAAGAAATATAGTAGATTTTTGAGAACTGGTTAAGCATTCCTCCAACCATTCTAGAATTGGAGGAATTGAAGAACATACCAAAAGTGCATCTCCAATTTTATAGAATTCCTGTAGAAATGTGGGTGTGGAACATTCCTAAAGAAAGCAGTCTAAACTTCTCACAGTGGACTCCTGAATTTTGGTTTAACTCTAACCCTATTCAGCAGAACTTACATCTGTGTACACTGTGATATCACTAAGGCTACAATCCTATATCCACTTGCCTGGGTATAAGACCCTTCAGCATCAGCTTCTGGGTAGACATGCATAGTAAGGGGCTTACCTGTTAAGCCAAGAGAAAGAATCTCCTTTTCACTCCTTTCCTTCCTGCCTAGAATAAGGGGCCACTAAATTTTCAGTAAAGATGATTATGCTTATCCTCAGAGGAGGATAACCTGTAGCTTTAGCCAGTCTGTAAATAAAAATAACCAAATACCTTTCTCCTGGTTATGACCTACTGATGGGAACAGTAGGTGGAAATTCACTAATGGAACCATGTCTTGTGAATTTGCTTGCTTTTAAGGCAATAGAAATGGCTAGAGACGGTCCTGCTGTTCTAAACCGCCTGGCAAAAATCTTCCACTTCCTTGGCAAGCAAGAGATGGCGATGGCAGTCTGCAACATGGCCTTAGATGTGCTGCCAGATCCAGTCCTTAACTGGCAGGCATACTGCATGCGCGCCAAGGTATGTCACCCACTTTCTCAGACTCTTCAAAATATGCACATACTCTGTGAGAGACCAGCATTGTTTTTTTAGTAGTTGCATTATATTAAGAAATTCGTTTTCATCATCCTCGTGCTTTCTAGCAGGATATTCAGGTTAATGTGTGCCACGGAGGATATGACTAATAATGGCTAATAATCATGATCACTATATCCCCTCTGGTATCAGAGGAGTGTGAATATGTGGGGAGCACAGGCAGGTGTGTCTGTCATCATGTCCTGCTTTTGTGGTTCCCAGCATGTTGGCAGCAGTCCGCAAGGGCCTTCTTATGCTTTTCTGTTGTCAGAGTTGCTATGCTAACTTGGACAGCCAGGAATCTATACCTGGGTTTAAAAATCTTCTTCCTTACGGCTTCCGTAGGGAGAGTATATCTTCAGGCTCAGATCTAACAGGTCTGTCTAACAGAACACGTAGCCATGGGGGTTTATGCAGCCAGTTTACCCAAATTAAAGTGCTGGTCCTTCAGCCTAGGATTATCTACTCGGACTGTCAGCAGCCACCTGAGATTTCAACAGAGTGGAACACAAAAAGTGGGGCAAAGAAGTCAAATGCACTAAACATGCTTATCTTTAGATGCTTATTAAACTATATTTGCGTGACTTGGAACGTGTGAAGATGGGATTGGGAGGAATGCCAGACCAGAGAAACCTCACAGATGCCAAAGCTGATCTGGAACATGTTGTGAAGGTACATCCATGCCTGAAGACTTACCTTGACCTAGGCCAGGTGAGAGAAAGCACCCCCCTCATCAAGTCCTTTTCACTGTTTTTGCTTCCTTATTTTATTTTATGGCTATAAAGACAATGCAGTGTTGTTATTCGGGCAGACTTTTAAAGGACTAGCCTGTGTTGATTTTAAAAAATCTTCTTGCTGCTTTTTTAAATGTATTCATTCATTAAGTTTAATTAAGAAAGGCAATTAAATTTAAAGCTTTCCATTAACAAATCTTTTCTTGGTGGCTTACACAGCAAAAGCAAAATAGATAAAATGCAACATAAAATAGCATATGCAGCCCTGTTCTAATATTAGGTAGTGACTCACTCATGGGTTCGTTTGGGGGGAGGAAGAAACGGGCGGAACCGTCTTGGACTACATATATCCTATGAGTCTTTTGTTCCCTTTGGCAATATAAAGCATCAACAGACACAGGCAGACAAGTTCTGCTGACCAGCTTACAGGACCAGCTCAAGGTGCTGCTTTAGACCCAATAAAGAACTGAAGCTGCCCTGGAATAGCTTGACTTGCCTCTCTGTATCCAAGAATCTACCACCTCTAATAAAGATTGCTGCTTTGAATATCCCCTGCTTACGTCTTCAAAATTTGGCAGGGCCTTCGCTACAATGGTTTTGTTATGGTGCAACTGTCTCCCGAGGCCCACTGGAGCCTACATGCACAAGCATTTGGGAGAAGATGCAAGATCTTCCTTTTCAGGAATGTATCTTATGAGATTACAATTACATTTAAAAATTATTCTGACTTGTGGTTTTGACCCATGAAAGTTTATCATTTTTGTTACATTTCCGCACAGTGTGAGCCAACTTGGTCCTTTTGATTACAAAACAGCACCTATATTTTTGAATAAATAGTGTGCAGTTTTGCTCCTCTTTCTTTTTCCTGCTCTTCTTTTAGGTATATTATTACATGGGAGTAGATGCCATGCAGGAACTCCTTGTTGTGGACGAAAACGCCCTGAACAGTGCCCTCATGTTCTTTGCTAAAGCCATGGAATTAGACTTGGGGAATGTCTTGCCTGAACTCCAGTTGCTGAAGGGAAAATGCCTTCGGATAAAAAACGAAGAGTTGGGTGCCATTGAATGCTTCAAGCAGGCAATAGAGCTGGATGGTGTAGGTTCAGTGTCTACAGAGAGTTTCCGGTGCTTAATGGAAATGCTGCTAACCTTGTTTAGTCAGGAGAAGATAAATATGGAGATGCTAATGAAAGAGGTGGAATTGTGGGTGAAGAAAGCTGAGGACAAATATCCACGGCAGCGGCTACAACAGGAGCTCAGGCTGGTCTGTCGTCACCACACAGCTGAAGTACTTGAGCTCTCCAAAGCCATGGTGACCGGAGGGAAGACCAAGCTGGTAAAACTGCTCCTTGAGACCATGAAGTGTGACTTTAACAAAGCTAAACTGAATGAACGCTCACTCTCCTTTTGAACAGCTGGATTCTCTCAGTCACGCATAAAACAGCATTTTTTGCCACACTGTTCCCTTGCAGTAATTCTGTTCTTCTCATTGTTTGGGTAAAGAAACTATTTTTTAATGAAATATAAAACATTTGATAACATTTATCAACATAACATGTTTATATTATAATATAAAACATGTAATAACATTTGATACTTTCTATGGTAAGATAGGCATCTTGTGACTTCTAGATATTTTGGCCTTCAGTTCCCATCATCCCTAGCCAGCATAACTACCCTCACATTGACTGGATAAATGCATGCTGCACTTCTGACTAATTTCTCAATGTCCTGAACAAAGGGTCCCTAGAGCATTAGCTCATGGAACCGATTGGAGGAGAGGCAGTCCCGGATTTAATCCCAAGTGGGTTGCCCATAAAATAGTATAATAGGTAATTCTTGTTAAACCAGCTGGAAACAGTGATTAGAGTGCTATCAGATTTAATAAGCATTTAAGAGGAAAATTGCAAAGAGGTCCAGCACAGTCACATTTGACTTCAAAAGAGGAAACTTTTCTCAATGAGGTAACTGGTCATAACATGTTGAAAGGAAGGGTCTAGAGGGCTAAATCACTTCCAAATGCTTGGCGATTGCTCAAAGCAATTTGAAGGGATTGCTCAAAACCTCAGTAATAGCTCAGATGCTAGGTATGCCACAAGTTAGGAAAGGTAGCCCAAAGTCCAAGGGGTCATTAGCATCAGGAAAGCTATTAGAGAAAAGGGCTTCCTTCAGGAAAAAGAAACTTTGCCCAAGTGAGGAAAACAAAACACAACCTTACACAAGGGCAATGCAAGTAATAAAACATGCAAATATACATTTTGAGGAGTACATCATTAATAACATCAAGACCAGCAATAAATAATTCTTCAGTTATATGAAAAGCAGAAAATCAGCAACAGAGGAATTAGGAGCATTGGAGTTAAAGGATTGCTTAAGGAAGGTGATTGCAAAGAAGCAGAATGAATTACTTTCATCTGTCTTTTCAGCAAAGAATAAAAGATGGAAGTATCTTCCTGAATTTATGTGTTAAGGAAGCAAGTCTAAAGAACTAAGGTAGATAATGGTGATAAAAGATGACAAACTGAAAGTTAATACATCGCTGGACCCAGATGATATCCATCCTACAGTTCTTAACTCAAATATGAAATTGCTGACCTTATAAAAATATGTAATATGTCTCTAAGAGCAGTGACTGTAGTAGTGGACTATAGATTAGCCACTGTAACACTGATTTTTTGAACAGAAAGTGAGAATCAAATAGTAATGGTAATTAATGATATGTGAGGCTACCTTTCAAAAGGGTCTGCTCAATTCAACTAATTCACAACAGTGACTGCTGACAAGGACTGGCCCTTGAGAACACATCGAGCTGGTCCTCCATCAGCTGCACTGGCTGCCCCTTGCAATCTGGATCCAGTGCTAAGTGTTGACCTTGCCTAAATGGCTTTGGGCCAGAATTATCCAAGGAAACTCCTGCCTCCATAGATCTCTGCTTGTTCACTAAGATCTTCAATGCAGGTCCTTCTCCGAGAAGCTCCCTCCAATGAAGTGAGGGGGGAAATGGCTAGGAGAAGGGACTTCTCTGTGGTTGCACCCCACTTATGGAATATGCTCCTCAAAGAGGTGCTCCTGGTGCCATCGCTGCTCTCTTTCCAGTGCCAGGTAAAGACTTCTTTATTTAAAAGATGTTTTATAATAGCTGACCTGATTTTTAACATTGCTCTAATTTTTATTGCTGCATGCTTTGAATGCCAGATCTTGTATTGTTTTAATGGATTTTATTCTTTTGCAGTTGTTTTTACCCAGAAAGCCCTTCAGGCGCTGGGGCAGCATGTACATGTAATAAATAAATGAATTCTCTTGATGGACGGAAGTAAACAGTGGAGTCCTACAGGTATTAGGACCAATGCTTTTCAACCTATTCGTAGGAGTAAGCAGTGAAGTGGCCAGATTTGCAGATGACACCAAATTATTTGGGGTGGTTAAACCAAATGGGGTTGTGAGGCACTCCAAAGGGCCTCTCCAAGCTGGGAGAAGGGGGAATCCAAATGGCAGTTCAGTGTAAGCAAGTGTAAAGTAATGCACATTCGAGTATAAAGTAATGACATTGGGACACAAAATCCAAACTTCCGGGATAGGCTGATGGAATCTGAGCTAGCAGTCCCTGACCAAGGAGGGAAACCTGGGATTATGGTGGACAGTTGGATGAAAATGTCAACCCAGTGCACAGCTGCTGTGTGAAAGGCAAACTTCATGGTAGGTATAATTAATAAGGGCATTGAAAATAAAACTGCCACCGTCAAACTGCCCTTATACAAATCTATGGTGTGACTGCACTTAACTGTGCAGTTTTGGTCACCACACCTAAGGATATTGCAGAGTAGGAAAACATGCAGAGAAGGGCAACTAAAATGATCAAGGAGTTGGAACAACCCTCCTACAAGAAATGGTTGCAACAGCTGAGATTGCAACAGCTGAGATTGCTTAGCTTGGAACTAGAGAGAGAGATAACAGAGTGGTGCAGAATTATGCATGGTGCAGAGAAAGATCAGAAACATTTTTCTGCCTCATTCATAATAACAGAGCCCAGGGTCATCCCATTAAGCTGATTGATGGGAGATTTAGGCCAGATGTGAAACGTATTCAGTGGGGATGCAAGAGAGCTGTTCCCATGCTCAGGAGCTCCCTGCCAAGGGAGGCTCATGTGGCTTCACTTTTGTCTCCACTGGCAAAGTTATTTCCCTTCAAGCAGACCTTTGACCAGATGAGCTGGTTTGTTGTTGAAGGGGTTTCTAAGTTGTTGGTGCTGTTTCTTTCTTTTATTGTTCTTTTAAATGATGTCTGTAATTTATTTGTTTTATGTTATCTTTTAATTAAAATTTTGTTTTTAATCTGAATGTTTGTCCGTGGCTTGGAGCACAGGTTTTTTTGACTGAAAGGTGGGACAGAAATAAAATTAAATAAATAATGAACTAACTAAAATGCTTGTTTAATGCTTGTTTTAAGTTTAAAATTTCAGAGGCATTTAAAATTTTCTGGGGTGAGGGATGCAGGAATTAAGGGATTATACTAAAACCTGGTTAGAATGGGCAGCAAAATGTTTCTGCCTTCCTGAACATCACTAGGAATTTGGTTGGCAAACAAAGCTGTAGAAATGAGCTTCCTCCTCTGAGAAAGTGGAACTAGTTAATACGAGGCAGAAACAGCTAAAGAGATTTTGGTGCCTTGTGCTAAAAATCCAAATTATACACTCTACAATGATTGATACGTAATTGAATGTCACTACAGATTTGTCACACAGGATGGGCTGCCTCACTTTATCTAACAGTGGGGCCAAACAGCCTGGTCCTGGCCTTGGATTACCACCCCAAATAATTTCCTATAGCAGGTTTCCATGCTGTAACAGTAACCTAAAGGTGTACTCACTTGGGTGAACAGATCAGCTGGGTAATTCCTGCAGCGGTTCCTAGAGAGGAGGGAAGAAGTATGGCCAGCACTCCTGTGATCTCGCCCAAGTGTAATCTCACACCCGCAACATCTAACATGGACCAATTAATTCAAACTGTGAATCTCCATTGACAGGTTGGCCCTGCAGACTTCATAGCCAATTTCCCCCCTTCTTCCCTGGCTTCTTGTACTAACTAGTCTGATGCACAGCTCTGGAGACCTGGAAATGTTGTGGAATCTAGGTTGGTTCTAACAAAAGTATTGCCTAATTGTGGATTTTGATTTTTTTCCCCTCCTGCTCAATGCTGCACAGCTGCCAGGCATCAGGATGACTTTTAGAGCAGTGGCAACACCAGCGGGAGCACATGAATTGGCCACAGTCTTTCAATACCTGGTGGTGAGGGCTGTGCATGCGTGCTGGTTTTTCTGTTTGTCTTTATATTTGGATGGCACGATCTGATTCCATAGCAATGGGCAACAGACTGATAAGAGGAAGCTGTAGCACATGTGAATTCTGTTTGCCAGTCAAAATGTCAGTTCTTCTTTCCAGCACACACACATCATAACATCTGCAAAATCAGTGGAATGACATTTGCTAGTTCTGACAGCAAAAAGCAGGTTGGGACTTGCTATGCATCTTTGTGAAGGAAAACGATTTTGCAGAGTTCTACTTCTGGTAACTTTCTTTGTCATGCTAGCATGTGGATGCAGCATGTATCACCATTGACCAAGGTGAAAATATGGATTTTTTTCAAATGTGCATTTCAAAGTGGCATTTTTAAAAGTGCGTTTTTTTAAAAAATAGGCTTTTTTCAAACAGTGCTCAAAACAAAACCAGTCCTGAACATGAATGCAACTATACATGCAGTAGGACAGGCCTACCACTCTCAAGTCACTCTCCTAGCATGTTCAGTCTTTACACACAGGTAACCTGAAAAGGGCATGTGCCAAATTTCCCAAACTGTTACGCAAGTTACCAAGCATAAAACTCTATGTACCTACATGTGCTATGGGACTCCGCACACTGGGACAACACATAGCTCTGGTGAGGGAGAGGTATCAGACCAGAGCAGAGAGAATCACAGTGCCTGAAGAGGGGCCTGACATTTCAAGCAAGTTGATTTTGCATTCGGTAGAGCCAGAAACATTTTCTTCCCATGAGAAGAGGCTTAGACTGCAGATAAACAAACTGTTGAGATAACTATGGAAGCTGAAGAAATGAAGGAAACGTATGAGAGCCATTAACTGTTTTAATAAAATAAAAAATAATGTTAATATTATTGAATTTTATCGGGCCAGGGCGGCTTATTTTATATTGTATTTTTGTATTTTAATTCTAATGTTTATATTTTTAATTCAAGTTTATAAATATTGTAATTTATTGTTGTAAGCCGCCCCGACGCTTCGGCGAATGGGGCAGCATAAAAATGTTTTAATAAAAAATAAAATAAACTGTTCAATAAATGTTAAAAAGTGGTTTGAGGATGCTTTAATAGCAACAGTTTTCATTCCCTACAAGAGCCACCATCCATTTGGATTTATCAAGTTTGTTTCTTTGAAACGACTCCAGTTATTAAAAACACAAATATTAACCATCACAGCCAGCCACGAGGAAAGAAGAGCTCTTGAAACTATTATGGATTCCTCATGTACATTATTTCAGCTCTGCTTCTCACCTGGGAACATTTAAAGAAGTCATGGACTTTTTTTCCAGTCAGGAGCTACTGTCAGGGTGGTTCTGAATACCCATAGAGAAAAAAGAAAAATGTTGCAGATAAGAAAGCCTGAGCTAGGGCAGTCTAGCAATTGTGAACAGATAAATGGCAACATACCAGAAGAAATTCTGAGCTACTTACACATGAGCAGTACCTTGGACAGCTACATAAATGCACGTTCTTCAATAATAACATGAATGAGGTTCTTCATGTTATTCCTGATAGATGACAGTGATAGAGCCTTCCGTGTCCAATTTGGGG